GAAGAAAGAAAGAAAACAAAGAATGAGTCTCATTCTCCACACAATACAAACATGCGCAAGGGAATTTAATGATATGTCTTCTCGACTGCAAACGCCATCTAGCTAGGTGGACAACAACAAGCAAAGTCCATAGCATGAAACGCCACGATCCGCTTCAGTTGAAACGGAAGGAGATTCGTTTTGGCTCTGCATCGTCTTGTTTCAGGTTTGGAAATAATGAATGACATACCAATTTTACCGTTCCACTATCAGCCATTTTAAAAGTCTATTTGAATCCTGTATAACGAAGATAAAGAAATTGGAGTCCTACAAGACCTTGTTCCCATTTCAATTCCTCCACGACTTTTCGCTTATTTTTGACTGACATCACGAACGGGCGAATGAATGACGATCGAAATTCTGTCGATTGGTACGACTCTTGTACCAACCTAAGGTTACTCTTTTTTAGTGTATACCAATGGTGCATGACCTTTTCGGATTATACCGGTAGATTCCATCTGGAGCCTGTCCAATTCCAGAAGATGCGACACTGTACAGCCTTTTTTTTTGAAATGAAGACTTCCCATGCTTTCAGCTAGTCTTCTCGAGTCCTTCCCTCAAGTTTCTGCCAGAATGGATAGAAACTAATTCTGCTTGTGCACCTTCTTTCAGTCTTCTGAAGAATAGAGGCAATAAGTACCGGTGCGAAATCGACGTTAAATTTGCTTCTCCAAAGTTCAGTCAGATGGCGCCGAATCCCACCAAATTTGTAGCTCTATTCGAAGGCCTTCTCGAAGGGGCAACCGACAGCGCTTGTTCTCTAATCCACCCGTCGAAACGACGACTCTTCCTTCTGAACCATCTATCACCAGACCACGCTGGATCTTGGATCTTCGATTCGAACCAAGTGTACTATCCTCCTCGTCCACATAGAGCGTTGTTCCACCTCGATAATCCATCCCGGCACCCGTCGTCAAAAAGACTGAGGTATATATGGAAAAGTTTGGGTCCGCTTCCATATCCGACAAGAGTAGACATTGGTCCCGAACAGGTTCCCAACGAAAAGGCCATGGAATGGAGGGTTTTGCTCCTTCGTTTTTCACTTTTTGGATCCTGACCCACCTTTCATAACGCTAGTGTATCATACAAAATAAATAAAAAAGAAAAGAAAATGGTCAGTAAAAAGCTGTATCTGTCTGGTAGGCGGATAGTAGCTAGACAGTTGAGAACCATGACAGGTAACTTACACGCTGGTTTAGATAAGGTTCATTTCGGCTCACTCCATAGCCGTCCATTGGACCAGCTGCAAGTATCCGAAAGGCAAATGGTTCGACTTCTTGCGGCAGAGAATAAACGTCAGCCAGCAAGTTTCGTAGCTTTTTCACCACTTCTGGCAACTTTTCTTCCAATTTACTTGCCAGATATACGTCAAAGTGGTCACTGCCATCTTTGAGCAATTCCTTGGCAAAGTTTAGCGTAGCGTCGACTTCCTTGTCAGAGACAATGTTGTCATGGACCCCACGAAAACACATGGCATCATCCTTCTTGTTTATGGTACACACACCCTCCATTTCGTCCAAAGCACTACATTCCTGTGGCGTCAACAATGCACGGTTGGTGGTTTGACATGGCATTCTCCAAGTGAGATTGAGGCCTTGTCGATACCGCATCAAGCGGTTGCTCTGTGGATGCAAGGAAGGATCCCGCAGTACATGTAGTGCAGGAATGTGAAGGACGCCATTGCTACAATCATTTCCCTCTATCGAAAATGGACTGGCAGGAAATGCATCATCTTCCATAGTGGTAGTACTGTTCTTGTCCTTGTGACACTGCTGCACCTGGGATGAAAAGTGTCGGATCTCCAACAATTCGTACATGAGATCGTCAAAGGTCACGTCCACTACCACTGTGCGTCCAAACATGGCTTGCATTTGTAATGTGAATAGTAACACCACAGACGACAAGATGAAGGCTCCAAACCAGGCTCCTCTCGATAGAAAATTGCCGCCGGCACTGTGTGGAATGAGTACCAATTCCAAATCATCTTCGGGGACTCCCTGGGCTCTGTATCGCGCCAAAGATTGGGCGATAATTTCTGTAGTCTGTCGGATTTGTAATTCGACGATTTCATCCTCGTCGGGTCGGTTTTCATTCAACAGAAAGGGATGTAGATTCGCTTCTGGTGGTTGCCCCTGTTCTTCCTGATCTTGTTGTGGTTGTTGCGGTTGTTGTCCTGCTTCATGGCGTTGTTCTTGGCCAGGTGCTTGCTGACGTACTTGTTGACTTTCTACACCACCACCATTGTTGATTTGATCTTCTATTCTAATGTTTGATTCGGATCCTTCCCCTCCTTCTGTCGGGTTGTCCAAAGCAATTTCTTTGGGAACGTCATCATCATAATGACGCCTTTCAGACGAAGCTTCAAGCTGTTCAATGAGCTTCACAATATTCAATATTTCCTGATCGTGACTATGAGGTTCTTCGCCTAAGTCTTGTGGCTCTGGAAGTTGTGCTGGAAACTCATCGCTGTCGTCGGCTTCCATCGTCGGTCATCTGTCGACGGATGTGGTACAGTATGATAATGATAATGCGATGATCGCCATGAGCGACTCCGACCAATTCGATCACTCCAAACTTGCAAGAGTATACAGTACTGTAGCTTCAAAAGACCAAATACTAGGATTTTAACACTCTCAAAACCCCACACTATATACATACAGAGCACTATCTAAACTAGAATTGTTTAGTGATACGGATTCCGTCTTTGAACTCCATCCCCAGTTCGTGACGGTCGGATAATTGATGGACTGTTGAAAATGCTCTCATCGTATCCCATGCTGGGAGCTGATGGGGTCAAGGAGGCAGAAGGAGGTGCACCTCCTGTCAAAGGCGTTTGTTGTGCCGATTGAGCTCCGGGAGAAAAGAATGGGCGAGTGGCGCCTCCAACAGAAAGAGAATTGGGAGGTGGAGAACCAAAACCAGTATTGTTGTTGCCCAATGGAGAGCCCATTGGTGGTCTTCCATTAGCAGTACTTGGTGTTGCTGCGGATGGTCCATGCGATGGGGTAGGATTTGGTTGGACCGCCAAGACTGACATTTCGTCATTGCCGTCATTGTCGTTTCGATAGTCCCCATAATCGTATCGACGGGGTTGTTGATTGAAGCAACAAGACAAGATCAACTTGACGACCATGAATAAGCCAGCCAAGACAACGACCAATGCTACAATTGGAACAGCATTGGCTGGGAAAAATCCATGCAAGGCAAAAATGAAGCTGTAAACCCAGCTCTGATCACTCAATTGACAGCTTTGCGAAACACCAGTGCAGTAAGCCCGGCAACTGGCGGCCGAAACGGACGACGAGGCATCGGGGCAGTCACAAGGTGGACAGGCGGGACACGTGCGACGGTTGCCAGTGGTGGCGACAACATTCTCCTTGACCCACTTGGCCTTTTCTTCCTGAATGGCCTTTTTGATTTCCCGCTTGGATTTGGCTTCTTGCTCCTTGATGACTTCTTGTCGAATCTTACTTTCCAAAGATGCCAAGTCGACTTCCTGCACTTCGACATCCCGGTAGACTGTGGCAGCTTCGTTTCCAGCGTCGTCCACCACATTGTAGGGAACCACCCAATGATGGGCAGACTTTTGAATGGGGGCACCAACCACCACTCGATCTGACAAATCTACATCCCCTTGATGAGTGTGATCCGTCGCCTTGACGCAGTCGGAAGGATTGGGGCTGGTCTTTTCGTGTGTCGCACACAATTCGGCACCAGCAGTGGCACGAATCATTTCCTGAATGTCATGAGAATACAAGCCTTGTTGCTCCCCATGAAGCTTGGCATCATCGGCGCTCTTGGCCTTGCTCATAATTCCTGACAATCCGCCACATTCGCAAATTTTGAAAACCTTTGGATTGGGACCCTGCAGTTTAATGACGGGTTTGCTGGTATCCACACAACTGGTTCCTCCATTGTACGAGTCGGGAGCATCCAATCCTCCAAAGTTGGCCGACTCCAAGAATCCATCTCCAGACGATTGGGGGGGACATTGACAAGCATAGCTTCCAATGGTATTGATACACTTGGCCCCAGCCGCTCGATCGCACTGGGGAACGAGGGACGGGCAGGAATGCTGGTATCTGGAAACATTGATGGAACATTCATCAATGTCATCAATGACCACTCGACGGGTAGTACGAACGTAAGGCGGAGTCGCCCAAGGCATGGCTACCGTGTAATTGACGTGAAATTCCCCAACATGAGTCAAACAACCAGTGGGCAGGGGTCGGCTATAAGAAATTTTGAGAGAACGCAAGTAATCTTCGGCATTTTCATCAAGAATGTCCACCATGTATTCTTGGTAGACGTCTCCTTGCTTCAAACGAAGGGTTTGATCCCGGTCGGGATCGTGACGCAATCGCAACGTAGGTGGGCTTTCATCAACACATCCATATTGTTCGTTGTAGACATAACCCGGTTTGCACGCACAGACTGGTTCGTTGTCTGCCGAAACGGTACAAATTTCGTGCTTGCCTGTTATACAAAACGTAGAAAGGAAGAAGTGTTAGCAGCTGCATTCGATCATCGTTGTTGTCGTTCATTCATTCCTATCTATCTAGCTAGCTAGCTAGCTACCCCAAACGGAAACGTACCTTTGCAAGGAGGAAATCCACTACAGGCATCTACAACCGGAACGGTACAACCGCAATAATATCCATTCTTGACAGTAGTCTCGGTAGGAGTCACACCATCAAACATGACTTTGGGCACAGGTTTGGGATCCTTGGGTTGACAGGCCCGTCCACTGCCCATGAGGCCTTCGGGACAGACACACCGGTAGTTGGGTTTCTCCAAGGGCGATTCCGCTCGTACGCATTCGGCATTGGAGGCACAATCGCTCTTGGCACAAGGATCGGGGGGACAGTGAAAGTTTCTGCGGCAAGTACGGCCATCAGGAGTCGAACTGGTGGAAGGGCAACAATCGTGGGTGGAAACTGCCGAGACACAGGAAGACTTGGCACTGGATCCGTAGGAAACTTCCCATCGAGATCGTTCTTGTTGGTTCAGCCAATTCCAGAATTCGTCATCGGCTGTCGCTGGATACTCGTCACTTTTATTATCAAAAGTGGGACAGACACACTCGTAGGATCCGATGGTATTGACACACACGGAAGGAGCCGGACACAGGTGACGCATTGGATGTTTGGCGGGCAAGGAGCATTCGTTTGTATCCAAAATGGTAAAGGGAACGTGAAAGCATTGCGAAGTCACTTCTCTTCCATCCTCATCCTGGTAAATTTCAAGCCCTTCCGAGGCCACAGCAGAGGCAAGACGAGTGACGGTACACTCGACAATGTGCTCTCCCACTCGTCCATGCAAATCGGCTCCTGTCCATTCCACTTCGACGTCCACCACACCATCCAATACGCGATTTACTTTCTCGACCACTACTGGAAGCTGTATATTGGTTTTGTTGACGAGGAGAATTTCAATTTGTGAGACGGGAAATGAACGAACGAAACCAGGCCACGCTCCAATAACAAAACAACAACAAGGTTGGACTGACTCACCACACTGGAAAGATCTCGAGGCGCTTCCTCTTGTGTATATGTCAAAGTTGCTTTGAGCCGCTCACATGACCGGGCAGTAACAACCGTTGACGATAGCAGAGATGACAGTAATATCAGCAGTCGCGGAATTGTCATCATAGCCATCATGGTTTGTTTGTTTGTTTGTTTGTTTGTAAAAAGGTGGGGGGGATGTCCAACCACCAAGGTGCTCTGGAGGATCGGCGGCGGATTGATTGGACTACCTACAACAATATCGCATTGATTATGATGCGCTCTCTCTCCTCCTCCTGAAACACCCCCAAATCTCGGAAAATGGTCCGGCCGACGCTTGGACCATCGCACGGGTCAATCGCGCGATATCTTAGTCAGAGTGATCGAACCTTGGAAAGATCTTTTTCCCAGCCGCCAGAAGTTCCGCCTAAATTCCGAGAGTCGCCGATGGTCGGCACATCCTTTTATATTGCTTCGACTGCTGACGATCCGAACATATCCTTTTTAGTTTCATTACACCATTGTTGTTTACCATGTTGTCTTCCATCCGAACAGTTTGCACTAAAGGGGCCTTGAGCCGTCAGGTACGCTAATTCATTTTCGAGAGTCAGTCATCCACTATTTGTAGGAAGAAGAATCATCCTCGCTCACACAGACACCCACCCGCACGATCCTTCCATTATTTTGTTCAGGCATCCCAACGCCTGTTTGCCCGTGGCATGGCCACCAAAGATATGACTGTGAGAGAAGCTATTTGCGAGGGTATCGATGAAGAAATGGAACGTGATGAAAATGTCTTCATCATGGGAGAAGAAGTTGCCCAGTACCAAGGTGCATACAAGGTCACCAAGGGATTGTACCAAAAGTACGGAGAGAAACGGGTCATTGATACCCCCATCACCGAAGCTGGCTTTACTGGAATGGCCGTGGGCGCTGCCTTCCACGATCTACGACCCATTGTGGAGTTCATGACCTGGAACTTTAGCTTGCAAGCCATTGATCAAATTCTTAACGGTGCCGCCAAGCAGTTCTACATGAGTGGAGGAAACTTGGCCTGCCCCATTGTTTTCCGTGGACCAAATGGGTACAGTGCCGGTACTGCTGCTCAGCACTCTCAGTGCTTTGCTGCGTGGTTTGGAAGTGTCCCTGGACTAAAGGTTGTCGCTCCATATTCATCGGAGGATTCCAAGGGACTCATCAAGGCTGCGATCCGTGATCCCAACCCTGTGGTGGTCTTGGAACACGAACTCATGTATGGAGTTAGCTTCCCAATGTCCGACGAGGCGCAATCGAAGGACTTTGTTATTGAAATCGGAAAGGCCAAAATTGAAAAGGAAGGAACCGATGTGACTCTCATTACCTACTCCAAGGAAGTTGGACTCGCGTTGGAGGCTGCCGAAGTAATGGCCGCCAAGGGAACCAGCGTCGAGGTGATTAACTTGCTCTCCATCCGCCCGCTCGATAGAGATGCCATTCTTGGTTCCATCAAGAAGACTGGAAGATGCGTGACTTTGGAACAGGGATGGCCTCAGCACGGAGTTGGTGCCGAAATCTCTGCCATGATTATGGAAACCGACACTTTCAACTACATGGATGCCCCCATGGAGCGTGTGTGCGGAGCAGATGTTCCCATGCCATATGCCAAGGACCTTGAAGAGGCGGCACTACCACAGCTGAACGATGTTGTTGCTGCCATTGAGCGAACAACCTTTAGAAGAATGGCTGCCTAAGTCGTTTATTTCTCATTCAATTTTTGAAAGATTCTAGTTGTTCATTGTAGCTCGGGAAACGGTCATCAGCCACAAACTACTCTTACTACTTAGTTCCCAAGTTGGATTTTACGACTATCATTAATATTATATTTAAAATATAAAAAAAGTAGAATCTTTAAATCTTACTCCTTGGTTTTGGCATGGCCGCATACATTTCCTCGATTTGTTTCTCGTACTTGTCCCTAGCTTGTTGGCGCTTTAGCTTGAATGTGGGCGTGAGCAATCCATTCTCCACCGAAAAGAGTTCAGTATCCAAATGAATCGCCCTAGGTGTTTCAATTCCATTCAATCCATTCTTCTTGGCCTCTTGGCTGATTTCATTCATAATCAGCTTGTTCACTTGAGGACTTTTGCAAATTTCCGCAAAGCTAGCCTTAGCCAAAGTCGACAGAGAATCATCCGATGCCAAGAGACTGCGAAGTGGTTCTTCGTCGGGCACGATAATGGCCACCAAAGCACTTTGCAACGAATCCCCATAGACAAACGCTTGTGCAACCAATAAGGATTGAATCACAACATTCTCAATCTTTTCCGGAGCCACGTATTCTCCTTGCGATAGCTTGAAAATGTTCTTTTTGCGATCAATGATCTGAAGCTGGCCCTCCACCGTCCACAAACCAATGTCTCCCGAATGCAACCATCCTTCCTCATCGACCGTCTCACGAGTCTTTTCGGGTTCCTTGTAGTATTCTTTAAAGACGACTGGTCCTCGGACCCAAATCTCACCGCGTCCTTGACATGGTTGGCCCTTGTGGCTCGTGTCGGTATGCAAATATCCCATTTCAGGAACATCGGCGAGAACAATCTCACAGGCTGGATTGGGGGCTCCAACGTGTCCAGCACTTTGCATGTCCTCGGGGTCACAAATGGTGGCGCACGCAGCACCTTCGGTTTGACCGTAACCCTCCAAGACGGGAATTCCAAGCAGGATCCGATAGAAAATCATGACTGTCTTGGAAAGTGGAGCAGATCCACTAACCATGAGACGGAGACAATCCAATCCCAATCCCTTTTTGATCTTGTTGAAAATGAGGGCATCATATAATGGGTGTTTGAGTTCTCCACTCTCTAGCAAGTTGTGTGTCTTGGAGGCGACTGCAGCATCGAAGAGCTTCTTTTTCAATCCTCCAGCTGCGTTGATGCCAATTTGAATCTATCATGGCAAAAATTAAAAAAAATCAGTAAATAAAGCGAACAGTCGTCTGCTTTGCTCATCAACCCATCACTTCTCCGTTTTCTTACCTTGTCATAAATCTTGTTCAAGACTCGGGGAGCAGCTGGCATCACTGTGGGTCGGCAAGCTTGCATATCGTCAATGAGCAAGAGAGGATCTCCTCTATAGAAGGCAATAGAGGCCCCATTAATGTACACCTGGCACTGGATAATTCTTTCAAAAATATGTGCCAATGGCAAATAGGACAAGTGACGATCGGCTATCGAAAGAGAAAGAGACGCATTCATGGCCCCTGCCATGGCCGACACAATATTCTCATGCGTCAAAATAGCACCCTTGGGATTCCCGGTAGTCCCAGAGGTGTAGCAAAAAGTAAAGACATCCTTGCCCGAGGGGGGACTGTGCTTGTGGCCCGTAGTGGCAATAGTCTGCGCTCCAATGGCTTCCACCTTGGCAAAACTCATGACCTGGAGCCCGGCCTCTCTGGCCATGGCATCGGCTTGGGGAATCACGCCGTCCACCAAGACAACGTACTCAAAGTGGGGACACTCGCCAGATTTCTTGACCGTGCAGAGGCGTTCCAATTCATCTCTAGTGCTAACAACCGTCTTGGTACCGGTCTGCTTCAAGATGAAACTAACGCTCTCGGGACCCAATGTATCGTAAAATGGAACAGTAGCTCCACCGACACAGAAAATGGCGTGTTCGGCAATGAACCATTCCATGCAATTGCGCATGTACAAACCCACCAAGGTCAGATTGTCATCGGTGGGAGGAACCAATTTCAAGGTTTCCAATCCAGCAGCAAAGCAATCAATTCTTGAGAGAACTTCAGTATAGGAGGAATAGATAAAAGGTGTCGCCATTCCACTGCTTTTTGAGACAGCCCTAAACCCAAGACAGGGCCCTAGCGGGTTTAGGGTTTGTCCACGTCGAAAGGCTTCATACAAAGTCTGCACTCCTTGATAGCCCAGTTCGGGATGGGAGGTAGGATCACCCGTTCGCCGAATATCACCACGGTCTTTGGTAGACGTATTGGCTACGACGGTAGACCACTGTTTTTTAGGCATGGTTGCTAGAGAGTGACAATAGAATGAACGATGATGGATATGAGAAGGATCATCCAGTGTCATCATTCAACCGCGGCCTATGTTGGGTCAAAGAAGTCGAAGGTATTCGTTAGGCCTTTCCTATGGTCGGAAGTGAACCGGTACGGTACCAGGTACCTTCTAAATAGTGCGATACCTAACCTGGGTTGTCATTGTTTGTACTCAACGCCTCTTAGCACGAACATAAACTAGCGATTACGCTGTTGAATGCTGATCTCCAGACCAATTTCTAGATAGGTACCAGAAGCATGGTATCGATACAGCGTACTCCAGGGGTTACTAGCTCCTTTTAAATTCAAATTCTCCTTACACGATGCAAGGTCACAGATCACAGACAAGCTCGCAATCTTCCCAAAGGTTGTCAGCAACTTCCAACACTTGTAGTACAGCAGTTACAGACAAGGTCACAGTCCGCTTCGAAGTTTTTAAGGCTTGTAGAGTCACACAGCAAGTTTTCCAATCCACCTGTAAAGTTGTTCGAAGAGAGGTAAAACCCCGAGATACGCCGTCCCAACATATTCAAAGATGACGGCACACTCCCAGTCAAAATATTGTCAGTCAGGTCGACATTTCTTACGAGCTTGAGATTCGATAGCTCGGCTGGGATCGTTGACGTCAGTCGATTCGAACTCAACTGCAACTTTAGCAAGTTTGATAGCCGTCCAAATTCACTGGGTATGGCATGGCTAATCCGATTGTCATTTAGGTAAAGCATCGAAAGGCCTTCTATAGCACCAATTTCGCTGGGGATGGTTCCAGTGAAAGCATTTCTGTCGAGTCCCAACTGATTCAAATTCACTAGATTCCCAACCTCCGTCGGTATCGTCTTGCCGAATCGATTGCTGTGTGCATATACAAATTCAAGTGCACTGCAACTTCCAATCTCTGATGGAAGGAAATCCAGACGATTTTCACTCAATACCAAGGTTATCAATTGTGTCAGAGCACCAATTTCCGAGGGAACAGGTCCAATCAAATAGGAGTTGTTATGCAAATTCATATTCAACAATCCGGTGAGTGAGAACACTTCTGTCGGTATTGTCGAACTTAGAAAATTGTCCGAGAGACTTGGTCTAGTGAGACTCGTAGCTGTCCCCAAAAAGCTCGGTATTGCCGAGGAAAGTTGGTTTCCCGCAATGTCCAATGATTCGAGAAGGTGCATGTTCCCAATTTCAGTGGGTATGCTGGATCCAGCAAAGCTGTTTGCCGAGAGATCAAGTGATCGAATGGAGGTCCACCGGCCAATGGCAGTTGGTATTTGACCAGTGAACAAATTATTATTGAACGTTGCATGCTCCAAGTCTGCGAGCAAGCCAAGATGGCTCGGTAACGATCCTTTCATTCGGTTATCGTCCAAAAAGAGTGAACGAAGCTTTGTGAGTTGCCCGAAGCTTGGGGTGGGCAACGACCCTGTCAATCGATTTCCCACAAGGTGTAACTCTATCAAGTTACTAAGATTCCCAATTTCTGCCGGTAAACTACCTTGGAGTCCTTTGGACCGAAAGTTCAAACTAATGACAGAACCATTCTCGTCACATTCAACAAATTCCCAGTCACAGTGAGATGTACTCGTCAGCCAGTTGTCTGATGAATCAAAGACCCAGCCTTCACCACGCAGATTGTAGTACATGGTGACAAGAGCGTGTCGTTCCAGCAGCTCACTCGTAACCACCATTGTGTTGAGCACAAAATCATCCTCTATTGCAGTCCATTGAATGGCATTGTATGCTGCTGGTGAAAGATCCTCCATCTCCTGACCAGGATAGATGAGAGACATCAGTCTCATCGCAGATGCCATGTCGCTTGGAGCCATGGATGGCATCCTAGCGGCCATCTGCGACGAAACATCATCATCATCGTCACGACTAGCAGCAACTCCAATTCCAACAGCCATGGCCACCACCACCACAATTGCAACCAAGATCCAAAGTTTGCCTCTGAAAAGATCGTTCCCGTCATTTTCTTCATTATCTTTGTCATGAATGTTACTGCTGGATGAAACTACTGTTGCGAGTGGTTGCTGAGGAAATGTCTGTCGTGCTGAATGATGATGATGATTCGAAGACATGGCCTCTCGCACGGCTCGTTGAACCGCATCTTGAACTACTGCATTGATATCCGGTGCGACTTCAGCCTGCAGTAAATTTCCGGGGCGATCTGATTCTTCTTTCTCTTGCTGCTGTTTTGATCCTTCGCTGTGAATCGCCTCGGCAACATTCATCTCTTTTCCAATTTCTTTGCCATCGGATCTACTGGGTGCACATGAGGTTTGTGCGTTGTTCAAATTTGGTGGTAGGTTTGCACCATTCTTATTGCAGCTCTCCTTGTACTTTCGACCCATGATCCTTCTTAAAAGGGCGGTAGTATCGCCAACTGTTTGAAAGTGGATACATGAAGTGTTCTTGCGGTTTGAATTATTTGTACCGGTAGTGGTGAATGAATGTTGAATCTTGAGTATTTACCGCGTTCCGTTCTTCAACCGGACAAAATAGGAAGATCTAAATCTGTTCCCATCGTCGTACAAGTTGAAAGTAGTCCCAATAAAATAAATCGAAACCCGAAGTAAATGGTTCCAGCATTGCTGTTATCATTCGAATAAGCCAGGGACTATTGACGTATTGCTGTGCTGACGTTTGTCACTTTCATTCAAAAAAAGAAAAATACTTAGGTGTCAATGTCACGGAAAAGGAGCCACGAGGACGCCTCGGAAGATGTCTTTGTGTACTATGAGAACACAGACCTGTCCTCCATTCCGACAAATGTTACCTCATTACGGATTGATAGCTCTGTCAAAACGATTCCACCTCATGCGTTCAGAGGACGAGGAAACTTGGTAAATGTGGAATACCAAGAAGGATTGGTTTAAAAATTGCACCCGATTGCGGGAGCAAAATTTTCTGTCGACTCTTGTCGAGATAGGTCCGAACGCTTTCACTGATTGCTCTGAGCTCGAAGTCGTCGGAAGTTTTCCAGTGAGCCTGAAGCTCATTGGTGAAGGTACATTCCTTCGATGCAAAAAGCTACAAAGCATTGAAATTGTGAGCGATGCATGTAACCTGCAAATTGGCTTGTTTATGGAGTGTACTAGTTTGACACATGCTAGGCTTCCTCAAGGGTTAGTCATCATACCGAAGGGCTCGTTCGCGTCGTGCCACTCGCTGGTGGATGTAAATGTGCCTTTTTCAGTAATTGAGATTGGACATAGCGCGTTCCTTTTTTGCAACCGCCTTGCAACGATGGAATTGCCTGTGGGCTTGAAGAAAATTGGAGAGTATTCCTTCCATGGCAATGCATTCAAACACTTTCATTTCCCTTCTACAGTGGCAGCCATTGGCAAAGACGCTCTAAGTTACTGCAGGGAGCTCGAATCTGTGACCCTTCCATCCGCGCTAAAAGTTATCCCTAACGATGCTTTTCTAGGCTGCTTCAAATTGAAGGATATCAGTATTCCAAAATCGGTTGCCCATGTTGGAGCTGCGGCTTTTGCAAGTTGTCGGTTGACTCATTTAGATCTTTCAAGATGCAACTTGACCAGCATTGGCAGATCCGCCATTTCTCACTGTTCACAACTGAGGGACATACTTCTACCAAGCACTCTGACACGGATCGAAGCGAGGTCCTTTGAAGGGTGTGCCTCCTTGACACATCTTTGGATCCCGCCAACCGTCGAATTAATTGATTATGGTGCGTTTGTCGGCTGTACCTCATTGCTCTCAGTGGAAGTGCCCGAAACGTTGAAGCGCGTTCGGTTTCTTGCGTATTGTCCACTTCGATACAACAACCAGTATGGATACAACTCTCTGGTCAACTTTTGCCTTCCTCGATCACACGTGTTGGATCCTGTGGTCCACGAATACGACTTTATGGAAGATATTAAGTTAGGAGAAGCTGCGAATGGATACGAAGATCTAGTCAGCAAGCTGAAACAACGATTCAACTGTCTCCCACTTCATCGGGCTTGCTATTTCCAGAGCTATCATACAATACAAGACAATATTGATAGCATTCAGGATATTGCCAAGGCTGATCCAGCTGCTTGTAGCAGAGTGGATTTTGCTGGAATGACTCCTCTTCATATTCTCGCACTGTCACACAGACCACGGCTCAAGCTGTTTCAGGAGCTCCTTTCGTTATCCTCTGTGGATATCATGCGATCTCGAGACGTCTTTGGATGTACCCCATGGATTTACCTATGCAAGAACCATTCAACAACAGCCGCATGTGTGACAAAGTCGTTACTTCTATGCATCTTGGAACCCCGCATCTTATTTTTGGGGTTGGATCACTGGAGAGACGAAATCATGTCGGGACTGGAGAAGGTACAACTTGCAGATGCGACCTCTTTAGCTACCGAAGTCGCTTGAATTTACGAAAAGCTCGCTGTGTTCGAAAGAATGGAGGTTCTGTCGTTGTTGGAAGTGGCGTTGTGGAAAATGAAAGTGGAGGAAGAGAAGGCGACGCTGGGGGATTCGCGCGAGAGCTGTCGAGTGAATTGCGGAAGCAGCATTGTGTTGACCAATATGATGACATTCATGGGTAAGGCAACCGCTACTACCCCATGATGATTCAAGGCTTGCTATCCGCTTCTTTGGATATGGCTGATGCAACCACACACCACACTGTGAAATTTACATTTGTAGTTTTTACTTGACACGTGTATACTACTGCAACCAACGCTGGCTATCCTAGATTGGCTAGATAAGCTCTAATACCCTGGCAACACTAGCATACAACTACAATGCAGGGAAATTTATGCGCGAAGTCGATACAAGCTGTTGTCTGTCTGTTTGCTTGTTTGTTTGTTTGTTTGTTTGTTTGTTTGTTTGTTTGTTTGTTTATCCCCCATGTTATTGCCCCCTGTTTAGGTCATTTATCGGGGATACATTTTCACGAAACGTACGACATCCATACCACACACGACTGACTGGCATCATAAAAAAAGAAGCCGAACTGCGAGAACAAGTGCCGAAACAACCAAAGTGTCCTACTATCCTTCTTCTTAGCGGGAAACCGAATACTGTGGTACCAGAATCAATCGTTGTCAAGGCTCGAGCAGTTCTACGTTTCTCAGTGGAAATTGGAATGACCTCCCACAGAATTTTGACGACTGATTGATTTCTTCAAGTGTTATTCATTCCACTCTGTTTCCCGAAACAGTCATAGCACAATACCCAAGCAGTAGGTATGAGAATACATCCTTCCGCAGCAGCCTCCATGCTCCGAGGAGATGACAGAAACAACGTCAATAGTCTCAAGCTCGATGATACCATTCAACAGCTTGCAGCAAACGCCTTTTCTGGCAACAAGATGTTGATGGAAGTTTCCTTACCCCAAATGCTCAAAGTCATTGGACCAGAAGCCTTTTTGAATTGTTCACTCTTATCCAAGGTCCGAATACCCATGACCTGCAAGAAAATTGGAGTCCGTGCCTTTTTGGGATGTTGCAGTTTGCAAGATGTGTTCTTGCCTGTTGGTTTGACTTGCATTCGAGAAGAAACCTTTTCAAGGTGTTCCAAACTCAAGACCATGGCTGTTCCATGGGCAGTTACGGTGATTGAGCATGGTGCCTTTTCTTACTGTACCGCCTTGCTATCTATAGAACTACCAAAGGGCTTGAAAAAGATTGAATCCCGGGCCTTTGCTCATTGCGAGCAGCTCAAGAATATTGAGATTCCAAAGTCGGTTAACCGGCTTGGTGACCACGCCTTTGCTCATTGCGAACGAAGTTTGGAGCTTCGGTTCGGTGTAAATATAGAGGCCTTGGATAGGCGCTTTGACGACTTGCCACTCCACAAGGTGTGTTACTATCAAGCACACTATACGACTGCTGCCAAACAAAAGCAATTGGAAAAGGCGATTCGAATGGATGGACCTGCCGGCAGAAGGAAACGCGGTGGTGGTGTCTTTTCCTTGTGCCAAAAAGCGGATGCCCTTCCGATCCATGAATATGATCTCGATAATCTGGATACCGGGGACTTTTTTTACGCGGGTGGCTGCTTTGTGGATTCATTTGGAATGACTCCACTTCACATTTTGGTCCTGTCGGCCCGTCCTTGCATGTCAATTTGCGAAACTGTGTTGGCTCACTATCCTTCCAATGTGACCACCCAAGACAACCATGGTAATACTCCTATCGATTATGCGTGCATGGTCAATGTCCCCATTCCCATGATAGATGGCCTCCTCCGAACGCTACAGCAACAGCTGAGTGTCTTTTCAGAGGAAGAACAACGACGCTTGAAATGCTTCGTCTACATCGCCAACAAATATGATTCCATGGATCTACTCTTATATCTGACTTCGCGGTACTTTCATGCTCGAATCAAAGCATTGGGATTGGATCAATGGAAACAGCATGTGGTGAACGAAATTGAAATAATTGCAACCCTTCCTCATGCCACGTTACGAGAAGGGCATTTGGAACGAATCGATGATTGTTTGCGGCAATTTGAACAAAAAGAGGCGCTGTCGCTACTCGAATTAGCACTCTGGAAGGCTAGAATGCAATCCGAATACCGCCGAAGGCTACCAGGTCCCTCCTGGAGGCGCACCTGTCAGATCCAAAGCGGAGCTGAAATTGTGATTCCTCTCATACTGTCCTACTTGGTGGTGGTAGATGAAGAACACGATCATTATCATCATTGAACGAAAAAGAATCGATAAATAGATCTTCGTCGGTCCAAGATAACACTATCTTGAGGCAGCCATTCTATACCCCTGGCTGGATGCGCTTGTATAGCATTCCTCTGCTACATACGATTCAGGTGTATTAATTATAAGAGGAATAGTAATCGAATATATCACAAACTGTATGATAAGAGCTTCTAAAGTCAAATACGATTTAGTATCCCCAGTCTTACTTTGCTAGACTTCTTGCGTGGATACCTTAGGGATCCTTTCGCGAGCAGGGTTCATTGCGAGACTTGACTTGAGCCGTTATTTTTTCTTCTCCTTCTGTTCATGTATTTGTGTTCGCGTCGATGGGTTTTTCGGTCTTTGGAGGGAGACTGACTCCCCTGTTCTTTGGGGATACTCCACCTAATCTGCCCTCCCAGCTTTTTTGGGAGTTTGGCGATCGAACGTTTGCCCTATTAGATTCGAGAATCTCGTTGGGGAAGATTCATTCCACCAATGAAATTCACTGTCGACGTACGAAGCCAGATGGATGAAAACGCGCGAGGAAAATGCATGCTCGTGAGAAACATCACAAAATCAACCTCTCATCCTCAAACTTCCTGACACGCCTGGTTGCACATTCATAGTACAAACTCTCAAAGTACTACCATTACAAGATCATCAAGAATCTACGTTTTAAAATGATTTCCAAATTTCTTCTATGCTTCCTGATCTTGTCACTCTTTGGTTTGACGGAATCTTTTTCACCAAGTGCCATCACACCGCCGGTACTACGACATCAACGATCAACCGATCGAATCTGTGCTGCATATTCAACCAAAAGAAATGGATGTGGAATGCGATTACCAAAGCGATCAATCAAATTGGCTGCTAGGCTTCCAACAAATCAAGAGACTGCTACTGATAGCAAGGCTGCTGTGGGAATGCCAATCTGGAGGAGGATCCGCGGTATCAAACTCACGGCACATGAACACTCGAGATTCCTTTCGAGAATCCGACGGGTTCTTCCCGCCTTGGGAGTATTGCTGATCTTTCCTCTCAAAGCTGCAGCCTCCGATACCATGGTGATGAGTCCCATGGTAATGAGCCCTGTTTCAGCATCCGTTGAGTTTCGATTGACTATGCGTCTAGTCATGGCGGCCCTTTTGGGAGCGGGTCTCGGTAAGGAACGATCAACATCGAAGCAATCGGCGGGGGTGCGAACCATGGCACTGGTGGCCATGGGAGCTTCAGCCTTTACGCTTTGCTCGATCTATGGCTTCAATGTCATTGGTGGCAAGCACGATCCGGCGCGTATGGCGTCTCAAGTTGCCAGTGGAGTGGGCTTTGTGGGAGCTGGTGTCATTACGAGTACCTCTCATTTGAATGGACGCAACATTGTGCACGGACTGACTACGGCAGTTACCATTTGGCTGTCAGCGGCAGTAGGTGTGGCATGTGGGACCGGACTGTTTCAAGTGGCAACGGCGGCAGCAGGCTTGACCATTTTCATTTTGAAACTCGGACGCCTTCCACCACCATCTGAAACGACAACAACAACTCAAAATTTGAACAGCGAAAATATCAAACAGAGTGGCACAAACGTCTCTATTAGGAAACGAGCCATTCCATTCAAATCCTCTGCTACACCTGTCGGCTGTACTGACGATGACGACTGTTTTTCGGGGAACCACGAGGCGGGGAGCCATGACATGGCCGAATGGGATGAACATCATCACACTGTCCAGAGTATTTTGGACGACGAGATGCCACCAATAATACAAGAAGCTCGCAAGAAAATTGAGCATGAAAATCACCGATTATCCATGATTCACGATGAAGAAGCGGCTGCCTTGAAAAAAGCAGGGTATGAAGTATCAAAACACTCAGAGCCTGCTCACATCAAAATTGTTGTGGATGAGGATCCCGAAATGGTAGAGATTATGCAAAATGCTTGGAAAAGCAATAACACAAACAGCCATGAGATGCATGTTAAGCATATGCAACGGTTCGCACACGATTTTGCCAACGAGACTGTCAACACATCGTCATAACTTGATGCACAAACTACAATTTACTATGTTTTAATAGATAGTTTAATACTTTTTTCTATAACAAAACCAAAACATCACATTGGTGCATCCTGCATTTGTTGCGACTAGCGCGTCACCTCCCAAATTTGGGTTAGTGGTAACAGTTGTCGAACACTCACTTGGCGCATTCCATTCCCCAGGAACGCAGCCTAGGCACCCCCGTATCGTGACGGCATAAGCTGTCGGAGAAGACTCAACGAGCCGACAGATACTAGAGTAGCAATGCTACTGGCATAAAAGGCATTGTACTCGGATGCTTCACCGTCATAATCATGATCAGACACCCAACTTGTAGTTTCTTGCACAATGTTCGCTGTCTTGGGTGCAACTTCAATCTTGGTCCACCAGTATGGGGAGACCTCTTCTTCGCTCCACTCCATCAGATTATGCAGCAATTCTTCATCTTTCAACGGATCGGCAAATTCACCAGGATTAATGAATTGATCCTTGAAGACACCCAACTTTTGCTTAGCAAGCTTTAATGACGAGTGAAGAGACTCGGTGGGACTTGCATCGGCCTCTCCAAGGACACTCGCCAAAACTGCCCGGGCACTCATGGCGGGAATAAATGGTGTCGAAGTAATTCTCATGACTCTCACACCCTTTTGTGTTTGGCTTAAGTACTGGCTGTGCATGCTGCTTGCAAGTAGTGAGTTGGAATAAGCCAAAATGCTGTTTAGCTCACCTGGAACGCTGGCAAATGGCTGGTTTGTAGCCTCATCGACACGCAAATCTGAGCCATTAACAGTCATATGGGCCATAGACTGAAGCTGCACAAGAGTCCCTCTAGGGGATCGGTTAAGCTGCTCGAGGAGCTTTGTGGTGAGCAAAAACTATAAAGGAAAAGAAGGAGGAATGTTAGAAAACTATGAGAGTAGTGCTGTCACAGTCGGCTGGCAATGGAATCATCGTACCTCAGACAAGTAGTTGCCCCCAAAGTATTTGTCATACCCTTGTTCAGTTCTACCATATTCTCTCGAGTAATCATTAACACAGTTGATTAGAACGTCGACATGACTGAACGATTCGGCAATATCATCAGCCCCCTTTGCAACAGAAACAAGATCGGCAAAGTCAACCTTTAGGGTATCCACCAAGGGTGCAGTGGCCTTGACGCTTGCAAGGTATCTGTACGATGCGTCCACTGCGATAACGCGAGCACCTAATCTTGAAAAGACGTCGGTCAGCTCGCTTCCGACTGCAGTGGAAGCTGTAACAACAACCACATTCATTCCCTCTAGAGGCACTTCACCCTGTCTCCCGGCATAGCGGTGTGCCATGGGTAAAATGTCCGATTCCCAGTCCAGTTTCAAACCAAGTTTCAGCTGAAGGTTCTTGAACTCTTCCACTGCAACCTGAAAATAGTGTTCGTAGTTGTTTTGACAGATGGTGATGGCTGATGCAAGATGTGGCATGATGAAGTCCTTTGCTGGCTGCAACCTGGCGTCCACCACGTCTTTAGTCTCAGAAACACTTTTGGTAATGCTATTCAATAGCTCTTCATGCTCCTTTAGAATCGTCGCAACGTTTGACTTTACTCCCTTCGCAGCGAACTGGACCTTTTCTCGGTGAGCTGAAAGCATAGCGAACACCAAGGCTAGGAGGAACAAAAGCATCATTTTCCTATACGACGACGGACGCGTTTCCTTTTCGCTATATGCGTTTGTAGTCTCTTCAAAATGTGTTGATTCATCGGTTCTGGGCTCAGTATTGATCGTGGTTGGGGACAACGTCGGTAAAGCCAAACTCTCTAGCTCTGAAGGGTATAACTGAGTTGGAAACCTCTTCAAAGCATCTTGCTTTGGTTTCAATTGTGACTCATCACCCTTGTCCATTGACTCCTTTGGAGATTCAGAATCGGGAGTTTGGGCCAACATCGACTTTACCCATTTCATTGGAGAGCTCGAGTTAATCCCACTGATCATTCCCTCTAGTTTTGCTTGCTCCCTTGCGGCTGCATCTTCCTCCAGATCCTTGATTTTCTTTAACAATGAATTATTTTCTCTCTTTGTCCACATATAGGCAGCCTCTAATCGAGCGTTCGTAGAATCTGGACCTGTGAACGACGACTCTAAGAGACTGTTGGTGACGGCTGAAGCATCTAACGCTGACCTATCAACATTTTGGAAGTCCTTCACCAGCTCGGATTCAGTGAATTCCTTAGCGAAATGAGATGCGATATGCTGTTTTGAAGCTGGCTTATATTGTGTGATGGGAGACTGAATGTTGGGAGAACCAAAAGATGTGTTTGGGTCTTTCATTCCTCTCACCCATCTCGTGCGAAAGGGAGACGCAGGTGGCGCTTTTGGTGAATCGGGAATATCCTCCTCGTCATCCATAGGCGAAGAATCCTGATCCTCCGATAACCTGATGCTTGAAATTTCAAACGAGCACTCGTCGTCTTCGTGATTTTCCTCAATATGTGGAGGTACGTTCTGATGTTTTTCGGTAGAGTCTGACCCAGTACCTTGGATGGGCCTGTCTCCTTCCATTTTGGTCTTGGAATGAAAGACGAATCTTTGCCTTTAGATTAATGGATTGCTGACAGGCTGCTACAGTGTGTTTCCTAATGGTTTGCTTGCTTGTGCAAGACTTGGCATGAAAATACCCTTCCACGTAACAAAAATGGGAACCAACATGCCATCAAAAATACCTATCGGTTCAATTCCGTTTAAAGAGAGGCGCGCGCGTGGAGTAACGGTAACGGCCATTTCTCTCAATTTCTCCATTGGTGATTCTTCTTATCTTGACGGTAGACGGACTACCATACCAGTGCGTAAGGTATTTCATTCATCATCGGATCACAAGGGTAATAGATGACTAGAAGATACTTTAGTGTTACTGGAAGTTGTTTCGCTTTATCCATTCCATGCGGTCGATTTATCACATCTGGTCTTGACTTCCCACTTTCGAGTCATCATGATTAGCTGTGCCAAAGGTTGGTATACCTCGGCGGTGAACCCTCATAACTTGCTAGCGAATGGCTCTTCAAGTCCATAGTACTGCATTTGAATCCTCCTTTTTCACAACAGTTTTCCGTGACTGCACGGTAGCACAGTTAACAACCACCAGAAGCGTAAGTAGACCGACAAAAAAAGATCCCATAACAAAGGTTACTCGGAAGTCAGGGATGTGGTGGAAGAGGGATTTCTTATTCTGATTTTCATAGGCACTCTCGGTGTCGTCGATGTGTTCCTGTGCCAGGCAATGTGGACCCGTAAATTTAGGTTCACATTTGCATACCTTCGAGTTACCTGAGCCAGAAAAGATTCCTTTGAAATCTCTTCCAGTCACACATTTGCCTCTGCCACCTACTGTTTGGTTTGATCCATCGTTGCTGTCGACTGCAGTCAAGTTGACACTGGTGAGGTTTCCACCACAGTCACTGTCGATCATGCAGGTACCACCTCCAGTCTGGATTTTCCTTAATGGCAGTCCCTTATCAGCATACGAAAAGGGCTCGTTTCGCATGTATCGATAAGAATGGCCCTTGATCCATCCCTTTGTTGGATGATCTGGTGGATCACATCCCAGTGAGTGACTAGATCCAACATGGGCAGAGTCATCCCGGCTTTGATAAACTCGAACGGCATCAATCTTCATGGATACATTTTCATTCCGGAGCATCTTACAGAAGCCTGCATAGAATGCACACGAGCATTTTGGATCATTACAATCGTAGCACTTTGTGCATGAAGAAGGAACGTCATAAGGGAAACCCCAAGTTGATGATACGGCAGTGTTCATGATGAGATAGGATGGCTCGTCTGGAATCTGAGAACCCATCGTCTCGTTGAGCACCTTATCCAATATTGTCATTGCGTGGAGCCAGTCCTTACCCTTGCCGTCCCCGACCATTGTTAGAGTTTCGTTAATTTTGTGGCCTTTGCTGAACCAATCTATACGCCCACCTGGTCCCGGTTGCCATTCCAGGCGGAATGTGTGCACCCGCTTAAAATGATCTGGAACAAGCTGATGAGCTCCTCCAACGGCATCCGCTTGAAATGCTTGCTTCTTTGTTCTTGAAACAGGTTCACCTGGTTTTGTCTCTCCGAGATAGGTACCATAGAAAAATGGATTGATCGATGTATTCCCTCCAAACTCGATGCCTTCGTACCACGTGTTTGCTTCCCACTGAGTGTGTCCATTTGGGGCCAGTAGAGTTTTATATAGCGGAGCTGCACCATTAGGAGGTCTGTTTTCTTCTACACCTGGAGCAACCTGTACCCGTTGAAAATGTGGGAAAATTGTTAAGAAGGTGTTGCGATGAAACGATGTTTCAAAGCAACTATCCGGGGCTCACCTGCAATGTCATATCGGCGTATGGTAATTCAATTGGCGGCTTAGTCGATGGCAGCGGTCCATTGGAATCTCCAGTCATAATTTCAATCAAATCGATCTCTGTAGCACCGCGTCCTTGATAAGGGTTCATCCCAAAGTGATTCGCACTGTTGCATGCAGAAAGTGTTTGAGCAGGTTGTCGCTTTCGATCACACGTGTCAAAACTCCATGGCCAAATGTTGTTTGTGGACGCTTCGTACGTTGCTCTTCCAAGATTCCCGAGCATCCAAACAGCAGGCCACAAACCTCCAATGAATGGATCTCCAGGAAGAATCACATCAACTTCTACAATGCCACCAGTAAAGCAAAACTTTTCCCAAGATTGCACCATCCCCGATTGGAAGTAGGCGTGCTCTTTCTTCCACGTCTTCTCTACTGGGTCGAATCTTTGCCAGGTAGTCGTCCCGATGTCAGTCTTAATCTTTAGCATACCATCCTCAGTCGTCACTTGTGACGAGTTGTAAAACTGTTGGGACCCACCACCTGCCGACGAGGAATCGTCATCTGGTTTGTCCAATGCCGTCCAAACTGGATCGTGTCCGTCTTTAAATGTTCGATTGGGAGTATTGAATTCATCCGACATTACCTATATTCAATAAAAAATCAGCACAGTGTCAGAAAGGCATGTGAGGAAAGATACCAACACAAGAAAGGCGACAGCTCGTGCCAACTCACAAGGTGATAGACAGTGCCATCAATTATAGACTTGGTGGTTCGTTTTTCCAATGGTGTGTCGATATCAATAAAACCAGCAGTGGCCGATTGAATTCCAATTGCCGCAATGGCAATTTTCCGCCCCAGGCGTCTTGGTGCAGTTTTAGATCTACCCATAATTCTCAACCTTGCAATCTTGGTCCTTCTGGATCGCTGATGACAAGAAAATGCTCTAGCGTTATAACCTTTTTGTCTACTGCTTCTCTGATTACGGCTGGTACAAACGATGCAGCTATGATTTCTTCAAATTGGATTCTCATTCCAACCGGATCATCGTTGCCAAGTTTGGTGCCATTCCCTCTGTTCCGTTGCACGTGCGTACGCACACTTCCCACACGTCACCTATGTAGATCAGTCCAACGAGTACCAGGTAGTCATCCACCAGATTTATTGCCGTCTGTCCGTGTAAGCACCTCACAAACGATTGGTCGAATGGATCAATAAACTTCAAACACCCTTATTTATTGACTCTGATCTAAGCTTTACACATTATTATAATTGAATCATTATTCCATAATCAAATGGTAGCCATGCGAAAGAGGTCCAACAAACTAGCCAGATGGCAACGGAGAATGGAGCTACATCCATATCCCCACCACACGATGACTACTACTTCTTACAGATGCAACATGCCATGTTGGCATGGACACCACCTTTCGCAAACTGAACGGCATCGTCTCCACACCAGTCGGCCTCATACGAACTGCAACCATCACCTTCGCTGTCTCTCCATGTAGTATCATCAACACAAGAACCCTTGCAAACACAACATGCAGTGTTTCCTGATATCCCATTAACCGCAAACTCTTTTGCGTCCTCGCCACACCAATCTACCTCGTAATCGCTGCATTTATCTCCTCCACTATCTGCCCAGACAGAATTATCAACGCACGAAGAAGTGGCTGGGGCCGTGGAAGTACCTCCTGCCACAGGCGCCGGAGCATCATCTGCTGCAGGGGCAGCCCCTCCTGGAGTGTCAGGAAGAGGTCCTCCAAATCTGCTTCCGCTGCACACACAGCAAGCCGTGAGTGCAGAAACACCGTCATCATTCTCAAAATCTTTGGCTTCAGCACACCAGGATGGCTCATATTTATCACATCCATCACCGCCACTGTCCACCCATGAGGCATCGTCTTTGCAACATTCGATTGATGGGACTTGTTCACCTGGAGCGCACCCGCCAAAACAGATATCAAAGACCATATCGTTGTTCTTAAGTTGGTAGATGTTCTTGATTTTGATACCAGTAGCCTTGATGCTTCCACCTTGATACGTGTTGGTGTTTGGATGGGATGTCGTAGGACCGATGGAATCACTTCCCATGCATTTTCCATACAAATCCGTAGCGTCGCCGTAACTGTCTTCTCCTTTTTCAAACGAGAATTGACCGTCAGCGGCTAGAAGAGCCACCATGTAATGCCTGTTATTCTGAGGCCATCCGGGTTGACCGGGGTGCCCTTCTTCATCGTTTAAGGGTGCGTCTTCTTTTTTAGGGGGCACCTTCGCTTTGGCAGTATCAATATGCCAAATCAAAAGACCAGTCCCTGGGATTTTGGCGTCAAAACCGATGCGCTGACGGTTCTCAAGAAGAAGGTATTCCCCATCTGGGAAACCCTTTGTGATCTTGTAGTATTGATGAGAAGTATACGATGGCTTCAGCACGATTGAATTTTTTGACTCAGACAGCGAGTTGAATGTCCCCCAACCAAGTTTTTCTTTCGAAAATGGATCCATTGCTGGGGGATCTACTCGTATTTATCAGAGAGCAGTTTGTGCATATTATGGTTAGAATCAAGACCAAATTCCAATTGCTAGCGAAGACGACTCTTGGGAAATACGTACAACTCTCACCGTCGCCGAAACCAGTATCGAGAGCCATTAGACTCCAAGCACCAACTCCTACCCCACCATCGTCTCTATCATAAAGATCTTCCAAGCCCTATAAAATGCGTAGCAGAAAACAAGTTAGTTATGAAGCTCGTGTGGTCAGAGGCTTTCTCGACACGTTGGATAACTTACCAAAAAGTGTGCTGTTTCATGAGCAATGGTGGCAATCGCACCGATTTTAGTTCCAGACGAGCCATACAAAGCAGGACTGACAGAGTAAAGGGACACTTTGACTCCTTCGTTGGTCGTGAAAATGTCTAAGCCTCCCTGGTGAGACCAGATATGATTCTTCATACCGGTGACCGAAGCATCGTAACCTGAATGGATGAACGTGATTGCGTCAATGTACCCATCGTTGTTCGTTTCAAACTCGCTAAAGTTAACAACCTTGTCAGTAAGTTCAAGAACTCTCTCCAAGCATTCCTCCATATTTACTCCCATCCCTTTGTCTTGATCAGGATAGTCCACCCCAGAGCACCAGCGTTCATCGTACTTGCCGTCCAGTTGAATCCAGTCAATGACTTTGGAGTCGAGATTAAGCTGTCCGTTCCTGTATCATCAAATCCGCGAATTAGTGCAACTGATAGAAAGGAGCAATGCATTGGACAACAACAACAACAACAACTTACGAAATGTCATGATAATATTTCTTCACGCCTCCAGTGGGCGCAAGTGCGTTCTTCTCCATGGAATTCATTAGGATGTCGAGGTCGGCTCTCGAGGGAAGTTGTCGACTAGCGTGGTCCTTGAACTTGAAGGGAATAACGAGATTTGGAACCCTTCCTTTTGATGGAGCATAGTCGCCGAGCTTTCGATGACCCCGAAGCTCGCGTCGACGTCCTGAATCTCTAGGAATACTACCACCGTATTTGAGGGACTTTTGACAGTAGCTTCCGCAAATCTCAGCTGCTTGCTGCAAGCTCATGTGAATGTGAGGTGGAAGCAGATGATCCGAAACTTCGTTCGGGTCGGTGGTCGCAACTGGGAAATGAAGGTTGGGACCGATGGTTCCATCTTCATGGAGGCGACAATAGTAGTATTGCCAGGTATAGTGAGACGTGGCATTCTTGCCAGCAACCACTTCACCAGTGCGGACAGATTCTGCTCGTTCTTGGCTAAGATGGCGTCGGCGAGTTTCTGATCCACCATCCCTGTAACAAACGGTGTATCCATCTAGATCCTCGAACCAGCTGTTAATGTCTCCACCCTTTAGGCGAAACAATCCCAAATCGTCTCCGTTCTCCTCGTAGAGACGGAACGGACGCGGATTGGCTACGTGAGCAGACGCAGAGTGGAAGCAGGTGCTTCCAAGGAGCGAGATCAATGCAACTGTTGAGAACTTCATCTTACTTTTCTTAACCCTCAAAGACAACGAAAAGATCGAGGAGTGACTACGGTACCGGTACAGCAGATGCTAGATCTGGATGGATGACCGCAACCAGCAACGAGGATTTTCTTTGGATACTGTAGGGATAGGTAGGCCATCAGTACAAAGCTACATATTCAATGTGGCGAATCCTCTCGTGTTTTGGATTTTGGATTTGGATATGGGTCATTGATGATTTCGCATTTTTTTATTATCATTAATCGCGGAATCCGATCCTATTAGTCGGATTGTGAATCATTAATTGAAGATACCGATGGTGGGCGACGCAGGTTGATTTGCACCAGGTACAGTACATTTACGACCTCATCATCTTTTATTTCGGTAATACCGATAAACTTTTGTTGAGCTCATCACTCACCCACATTACGGTACCAACAATACAAAGAGCTCAGAAATTGTACCGATATAAGGTTTCTGGAATAATAAAATAATATCGTTTGTCGTTGCAACAGAATGGAACTTGCGGGGAGGTCTTGTGTGAAATTGGTGCAGCCTATGTTGGTATGGTCGTACTTACAAGGACATGCAGCATTTGCATCTTCGCCGTAGCAGCGATGGTACCCTCAAAATACCCAGTATCGGTACAGTAGTGCTTCTATTTGATCACTTTATGTAGTAATTTTATGCCTTTTTAGCCATGGAAAGGCCGACTCGGTTGTTGGAATATTCCAGTACGTCAAAGGTCCACTCGAGCCCAATCTCCGCTCCCAATTCTTGTAGAAACTCTTGCGTCGATTTTGGTAGTTTGTAGCTAATGAGCAAGTATATCCCAGTCTCTTCTTTTAGGATCTTACAAGCACCTCGTAGCAGGCTAGAGATCCAATAATCCCAGGCTTCATTGCAAAATAGAGCATCCGAAAGTCCCTTGTCAAGGATCGTGTCAAACTTTTCTTCCATCGACGGGAACTGATCTTGTAGTTTGGTTGCATCCCCGCAGTAATATCCTTCGATCGATGATCCATACTTTTTCTCCATTTGGGACATGCAAATAGTTGAGGAATCTTGCAAGGAAATTCGGATTCCAGGTACTGACGCCAAGAGTACATCAGGAAGCCTGGAATTCCCACATCCTGGTATCAGACATTTACTATCTGGTGTAACATAGGATGCTATCGTTTCCAAAGGAATGCTAGAGTGCCATTCCACGTGCTCTTGATTGGTTTCCTCTTCGGTCTGATAAAATTTGTCCCATTCGGCAGGAGAGGAGAAATCAAAGGCTGCCGAAGAAAGTGACGTTATTCTTCTACCGGAGAATAGATATCGGTTGATAGTCCAAGCACTAGCCGTCTGAGAGAGCCAACTATAGAAGAGACTGCAAACAAGGATCAACTGGATGATCATCGTGTTCAGAACGGTGTGGTGCGGTTTATTCGTTGTTGGAGTTTTGAGTCAAAGGGATCAAATAAACACAACGCCGAGATGATATGCGATCGCTGCAATAGTACAGAGACGAGTCGAGTCAATACAGCTTTCATGATCATGTCTTCTCGGACTTTGTTCTTGTCAGTACTGGCGCTGTTAAATGCATCCTTTTGCATAGCTGTGGGAAGCGGTGAAATGCCCTACTTTCTAATCAACACTCCACGGCCGTATTGCATTCAAGTCCAGGCTCCAGAAGAGACTGTCCTTCGGGTTTACTATGACGCTCCTGGTGTGTCTTTGCTATCAGCTCTCGCTAATTTTAACCATTCTATAGGCTCACTAATCTCTCTTAATTTTACTTATTTTGAAACAGACATTGACAGAAAGACCGCGGGACAAGAAAAAAATTACGCTCCCACCTACCTGACCATTAGTTACAATGCGCACACCGTGGGTCCACCCAGCAGGGGCACGACAGTACAAAACCACAAGCCCAGCAGCACCGAATTAATTACAAAGACGGGCAAGGTTGACTTTCAAGTCCATCCCCGCCACCGCGACGACGAGGATGTTGGTGAATTGCAAGTCTGCATACGAGCATCCAAGGCAGGCACCAAGCATCCCATGCGGTTTGGCCTCTTTGTGGAGGAAGTCGATTTGGAGGACGAGGACGAGGATGTAGATGTGACTTCTCATTTAACCTTCATCGAGGGGCAACTGGCACACTACGAAAAAAAGATGCACGTCATGCTAAAGACTGCAGATTTGGTCCGAGAACACGATGCCATGTATCATCAAAAGACCGACGCTATGCATCAAGCCACAATATTTTGGCCAGTCGTTCATGTGGGAATTTTACTCATTACAGGCTTCACTCAAGCGCAGCACATTGTCAACTTTTTTCAAAAGCGAAGAATCATCTAGTCGGGTAACACTGTGGTACTTGAATTATGGTTCCTTGCTTTTTTGTGTCCAAACACTGCTACTCGGGATGCAATTGCTGGGGAAATGAAACATGATAACTTGATGATTGAAGGGATCAATAAAGGTGAATTGATAGCTGATAGCCCAAATCTATTGATAGAGTCTAATTTATTTCATGTGTATGTATTTTTTAATTAATCCTACAATGGTAGAATTTTTATATTTGATCTATGACGTTTCAATCCATACAGAAACGCCACTTTAACAGAAAAAGCAAGTATAGCTTACTCTTTCGGTGAAGCTTCGACAGTCCGTTGTCGCTTGAGAGCAGGCAGAGAAGGCGAAGCTTCTGGCTCAGCCTTGATTTCACTCAGTTTTCTGGACTTTCCTGAGCTCTTGGGAGTGTCGGCTCCCAGCGTGTTCATGGTAATAGGTGCAAGTGGTGCGCGATATTTTCTTGAGGAACGTGGAGGGGATCGGAAAGGTGTCATGGAAGATCCTTGGGGGCTGAATCCAAGCTGACGACTCCAAAATCCTTGATCATGATCATAGCCTCCAATGGGCGTCAAAGATGCATCAAATGGACTCGAAGCGGGCTGAACATCTCTAGTGTCCACAGAGTCATGAGTAACGTTTGTCACATTGTTTGGCGTTTGAACATCGGTGGTGGTAATTGCTGGCATGAAACTATTGACTTTCATCGCGGAGCCAAGGGGATCATCACGTTCATCTTCAGCGAAGTGGATAGACTTGTTCGCACTTCGCGGGGGAGTTCTTGCCTCTTCCATTTCCTTCTTCAGCTTTGTCCTGTGGGAGACAGGTGATATTGAAACACGGTTGTATCTCATATCAGAAATGAAGTTTGTCATTGAATCATCAGTACCACCGAAGTTCAACTTCATTTCACGAGGAGTGTGACCAATGAGAGGTTTCATCCTAGGTGTCTTCGCAATGGGGGTCTTGTTGTAACGATCATCGTCAGCAAATAAGGCTTTGTTGAGTCCAAGATTTTCTTCCAACGACAACCCAGAAAATAGTTCTGACGAATACGGAGTAGCAAAGGTTCCCTTCAAAGTAGAAAGTGGTGTCATTCCATTGATGTTCATATTGAGAGCAGGGCTTCCATTCAGAACATCATCCCCAAGATTTCCTGGTGAATCAAAGATGGACTTGCGAGAGCTTGAATAGTATGATGAATGATCTTTGTGCTCCGATGGCGTGTCTCTTGGAGTCATGCTATCGTAGCGAATCATTTGATCCTTTTTCGGGGAGAAGTGCTTCGATTGCCCATCACTTGGTGGTTTCGGAGCGAGTGGTACATTGGAATCACACTTTCCAGATGACATAGGATGCTTCGCCATTGGCTTTCCATATGGATATGGTGCCATGGCCATCTCATGATGATACATGCCTGGGTGTGGTGGCATCCCGGGATAAGACATTGGATGCATTCCATACATGTATGGTGGTGGCATACCCATTGGTGGCATTTTTGGGTCATATCGTCTCTTCTTTGTACTGCTTTTGCGAGACTTGCGGTCTCCACGCTTCATCTTCCCAAGGTTCTCCTTTCCTCGCACAGCGCTCAGTACACCTTCGAGGTCCCCCATGAAGTCGAATCTGCCATCCTCGGTATATCGGATGTTTGATTCGTCGCAACCTTGCTTCTTCGCCAAGTACTTTTCAATTTTTCGACGCATCGAAGAGTTCCAATGGTTCTTGATGGCATTGTCAGTTCTGCAAACGAATGATGTGCTTAGTTTGGATTTTCATGTGAGTTGCGACAAATGTAAATATGAACGTACCTTCCTGGGAGCATCTTTGCAATCTCAGCCCAGCGATTTCCCAAGGTCATGTGAGCCTCCAAAATGGTTCTATCCTCCTCTTCTTTCCATGCTTCCTTGGAGATGTCAGGATTGAGATGATTGTGCCATCGTTCACGACATTGTTTTCCAATCCTTCCTGGCAAGTTCGATGCTATCAACGACCATTTCTTGGCTCCGTACTTCTTGACGAGTTCGATCACCTTGCGGTCCTCTTCTGCAGTCCATGGTCCCTTGACAAGAGTTGGTTTCAAAACTTTTTGCCATCTGTGGAGACATTGGACTTCACTTCGGCCTGGAAGACGAGTAGAAATGAGTTTCCAGTTCTTCGCACCATGCTCCTCAACAGCCTGCTTCAGCATGTCGTCTTCTTGCTTGGACCATTTGATGGCTTGCTTCTTGACTGTGTATGGTCCAGGTCTAGACATGGAAGGAGGCATTTGCTTTGGCTTGGAATTCATGCTGGAGGGCGTTGATTTTCCCAAAGGCTTCTTTTTTGATTGGCTTCCTGGCATAGGTGGAGGGCGATGCGCTGGATGCATTGGCATGTGTGCATAGTAAGGGTGGTGCATCGGGGGATAAGCGCCGGGGTACGGTGGTGGCATCGATGGTGGATAGGCACCTGGGTACGAGGCTCCTTTGGGTGGTCCCTTTCCGTCGTAAGGACGTGGTGGCATCGGCATCATGTGATACATGTGATGCGGTGGTGGAGGGGGTGGATAGCGATGCATTTCCTTGCCATTTCCGTAAGGACCCCCGGGGGTTGGTTTCCCACCACCAGCTGGTTTCGTTGGCTTTCCTGACATGATTTGTTTCGAAAATTTTCAATCTTTTGGAATCCGGATCGTATGCTAACAATAGAGACAGCTAGAGTATGCGCCTATTTGATAAGCTGCTCTGTTCTATTCTATTCAACAATGCAGTGTAATGAATAGGACTTCGTGGTTGGAATATTGAAGCAGTTCGAGAATGGAATGAGAAAAGTGGAAGAGATATTCGTGACATCGCCGTGTCGACTGAGACATGAAAACCGTTTATTTTCGTCTTGGTATCATTCAGCTTTCCTCATGGCGGAGAACATATTCGTAGTTTTGAATTATCAAAAGAGACCCGGAGGGGGTGTTTTGAATGTCGGTTGCAACGGTTAAGCTGAGTTGGAGTGAGTCAGGTCACTAGTTGATTTCACCGTCTGTCGAACTCCGGGAAACTGACAACCTCCATCCAGAAAATTCGAAATGCAGAAATGCAGATCTGAAAACAAAAAGATTTGCATTTGCACACCATGGAGGAAGGAAAGCCAACACAAAATGGCGGGGGCATGTCGCGTGCAGCAAAGAAGCGAGCCAAGAAAAATAAGAAGAAAACCAATTTGATCGTGGCAGCAGCAGAACATTTGCAGCCTGAAAAGAAGAAAGTTAAATTGGACGACGCGAAGCCTAATGAAAAGAAAATCAAGGTTGCAGAGGATACGAAAGAGTCGATGGATGATTCAGAAGTGGTGGAGTCTAGAAACAAAATCGATGCTGGGGAACAAACTCAAGATTCGATTCCATCCACCGACTTTCCGGGAATTGAAAAACTGTCACTTGAGGAGATTCTTCTTCGCAAGGACGTGAAGGACGAAGAAACCCAGGAATTGCTTGAATCCATGGCGTCGGAACAGCGCGCATCAGCCCTTTTCCAAGCAATTATCCACCCTATTCCACTCTCAACCTTCTACAAGGAATATTGGGAGAAGAAACCGCTTTTGGTTCGTGCGAAGAATAGAAGGCGGTATCAAGGTCTCCTCTCACTGGAAAGTATCAAGGAGATGACCAAGAATGAGGAACTCTACTACACTCGTGATCTGAATTTGACAAAATATACAAAAGACGATGCTGGAGTAAAGAGAAGGCTGACTTTGGACAAGATTCCGCAGACGGCGGAAGAGGCGGAAACTGGAGTTCCCATAGATTCAAAAGAGTTGTGGAAGAATTATCACAAGGGATGCACGATTCGTCTACTTTGTCCACACAAACATGCAGAAAATGTACATGCTCTGCTAAGCACTCTTGAATTAGAACTGCAGTGTATGGTTGGCGCAAATGCATACTTGACACCACCACAAGCCTCACAGGGCTTTGCTCCACATTATGATGACATTGAAGCTTTCTGCCTCCAGCTTCAGGGGAAGAAGCGGTGGAAGGTGTATGAACCAACACTCAAGCTTCCTCGAGCCAGCTCGGAAGATTTTTCAGTAGAGGAAGTGAAAAAAATGACGCAAGTTATGGATGTGACGTTGGAGGAAGGGGATTTGCTGTACATGCCACGAGGTTGGATTCACCAGGCTTGCACCTTGAAGGATGCGGACCAACACTCATTGCACTTGACTGTGAGTGCCATGCAACAGTGGTCTTGGGTGGATCTTATGGACATGATCATGCCCGAAGCACTTGAGGCGGCCTCTACAAGCGAAACTTCCTCAAGTCTTCGACAGGGCCTACCGAGGGGATTCTTGGACTACATGGGAGCCATGTACGAAGAGCCATCAGATGAAAAACTACCAGACTCGCTGAAGAAAGCAGGTGAAGAAGACAAACTCGTCAAATTTCGAAAAATGCTCCAAGACAACTTTCGTGCTGAAGCCAAGAAACGAATTATGAAGGTCGCTAAAGCGGTAGGTTTCCTCATTGTCATTTCAGTGCCTTTGGTGCACTGTTTTGGAAGTAAACTCACCTATTCTTGTTTCGCATTTTTCCTGCTATCTAGGCAAACGAAATGATTGATGCCGCCTGTGATCAGTTGGCCAAACGATACATGTCAGAACGCCAACCTCCGTCGTTGACTCCACAAGAGCTCTTGAAGACTGTTAAAGCACCAGATGGGGAATCCAAATCGATCATGCCGAATACCATGTGCCGTATGGCGCGGCCTGGAATTGCCCGCATTGTAGTGGAAGAGGATAAGGCAGTATTGTATCATTGTTTAGACAACTCGCGAGAATATCAAGGGAATGTTCTTTCGCCAATGGAATTTGAGATGGATGATGGTCCTTCCTTGGAACAACTGCTGACAACAGTAGAACCACATTGGATTCTAGTCAATGATTTGTTTCACGATTCTATCGAAGACAAGATTGCCATAGCACAGGCCTTGTATGACGAGGGAATTCTTGCCATTCACGAAAGTGGATGATTCTGCAACTAAAGTAAAACTGGGCTACCTAAGAAACCGAAAAACATGGTCTAGTGTAGACGGTAGGTATTCGTTCTTCCACAATATCGAATTGAAAGAATGCTGATCCTGAAAAGAACCATGAAACAAAAGATGGGAATACAGTACTAGTAATTTACTTAAACTTGGCAGCAGCATCGGCAGTAAAGTCCCATTGTACCACGCAGGAGTCTGCTCCCACGGACACCAAATTCAACCCTTCCATATCCTTACGGAAAGCCATACCAACGACCCCACCACGATGCGTGAATTGGTAATGCAACTTTCTCATGGTCTTTTCAAAGGACCATAGGTAGACGGAATCATCCAACCCGCCTGTAGCGAGGTGCTTGTCATCATTTGACCAAGCAATGCAAGTGATTTTTTGCAAGTGGAAGCACCATTTGGACTTTCCAATAATTTTGGAATAGTCAGCAGTACTGTATACACAGACATCGCGAGTATCACCAGCAGCCAACTTGGTGCCATCATTGGACAAGGCCAACGAATGGACCGGCTTAAGATGCCCATCAGCAATAACGTGAGCTTCGGTGAGCTTGTAGTCACCAGTAATGTCGTAAACGTAAATCTTGTTGTCATTTCCACCCACGTAGACCTTCTTATCGTCCTTTGACACACAAATGACATTTGCATCGTAGCTAATGGCACACAGTCCAGCTGAAACTTGTGCACCATCCTTCATCAACAAGATTCCTTGGACAGTCAGAATGGCAGTCAAACTGTTTCCAGTATCGATTGCTGTTGGCTGGGCCGTAATGTCCAAATTTTTGTCTTGCAATTCTCCATCCTTGGTGTACATGGCAGTATCATCCCATCCGCAACTCAGCAATTGTGCATCACTTAGGATTGTCATTCCGTTGATGGCTCCCTTATGAACCGTGTACATGAGGTCCTTGTTGTCAGCAGGAACAATGCGCTGGACGGCCTTGATCATATCAAAATCCCACTTGACCATGATACCATCACTGTCTCCAGTGTAAAAGACCTTTTTGGCATGATCAAAGGCCACTGCACCAATGGGCGCGCAGTGACCAGTAATGAGCTTAATGTCACCTCCAGCATCAGGCATTGGCAAGACTGCCAACTGACTATTGGTACTGACGGACACGGGAATATTGCCTCCGACAAAGGTACAGCCCAATTGCATTCCACCTCTAGGAGCTTTTTCACATGGGGCACCCAGCTGGAATTCGGCCACGTTCCAAGTATGCTTTTCAGTAATCGAAGTTCCATCCGAACTGACTTCAAACAACTTGCAAGTTCCATCAGCCGAAGCCGTCAGGAGATTCTTGTTATCACCACTCCACTCACAAGCATAAATGGTTCCAGTATGAACTCCTTCCAACTTGCCAGTAAGTGCCAACGTTTTTCCATCGTAAATGCAGATACCCTTATCTCCACCCACTGATGCCACCAAGTTTCCATCTGAAGTGTACTTGACGGAGTTGACTCCCTTGGAGTGTGCATCCTCACAAGGAGCATCTCCCGCGGCAGGCATTTTTTTAAAGGGCGGTCCTGCATGAAAGTGCAACTTTCCATCTTCTCTTCCACCCGTCACCACACGAAAGGGCCGGTTGGGCTTGAAGGACACCGCACACGATTTGCCCTTTTGATGTTGATACAAAACTCCTTGGGAATTGGCGGTATCCCATTGAATGGCACGTGTACAAACACTAGTATTATCCAATCGATCTCCAGCAAAGGCAATTCGCTTGGATTCTCCATCCCAGGCAATGGCACGGATGGCACTAGTCAAACCAGTAGTTTCCAACTTGGGCAAGTGTTCTTCGTGATCTAGAGCCCAAACACGGAGCTGGCCGCGAGAATCTCCAGAAGCAACATAGGCTCCCGAAGTACTAATTTCCACAACAGAAGTGGCATACTGATGGCCTCTGTATACGAGGGATGAAAGCTTGGAATTGGGCAGAGTTTCATCATCCTTCAGTGACTGAATAACGCAAAACTTGCCACTGGGATACGCCAATAGAGATTTGCCAGAGTTCAATCGACCAGCATTTCCATTCAGTGGACAGGGTTCTCCACGAGTAGTATTGGGAAGGGGAGCCACTTGGGCCGTGACCGGAGCTGTTTGGCAAAAGCGAATGGGAATGTGAGAATGAAACAACGAAGGAATCGGAAGCGATAGATGAAAGGAATCGGAACCGATAGATGAACGGAAACACATTTCTTGAAGGGCTAGATTGATCAACGTCAGAGTTTACTTCTCAATTGAGGAACTCACCATTCGCAGGAATGCAAGCGTTAGATGCAGTTACCATGGTTGGTTTTGGTAGTCTTTAAAGTTGGTTTCTCAACTTGATTGATGTTGCTTGAATCATCTTGGATCCGAACCGAGTGTCGTGGAAAAACCACTAAGTCGACTCGTAAGATCTAACCAAGGATAGACAGTCATTTGGGCATCGACAAGTCGAACGAGTCAGTTGGTTTGCAATACGCGCAATGCTAGTATTTGTAAGTGATGTAGGTAGTCCCATAACATAACTGGTACAGTAATAGTATCACAATTTGTTGTGTATTATATTTTGGTTTTAGCAGCTTCTTGTTGCTGCTGCCATCGAATACGCCGGAGTGCTGTACTACTCATGCCGTGCGGCTCCGTCCGTCGCGTGCACAACAGCTTCAATGGTTTGTAGCCCAGTGTATTTATGCGGTGTTGGTTTAGTAGGCAACCATTCTCCAAGGTTTCATGACTCAAGACCAGGGCATCAAAGTCTTCTCCTTCCCCCTCTGTTCCCGGTGGTCCATATTCTTCCGAAATTGCCACCACTCGGACTCGATTCTTCATGCCTGGAGCCAATCTGTACACAAATTCTTTGGCTTGGGCCATGCGCGCTTCGAGCTGTGGAATCTCTTCGGCGAATTTCTTGTGTTGGAGCATCGCATCGACAGTGACCCCGACCGTCAGTTGGCCACTCCGGGGATTGACCGAGGAGACGGCCAAGGTCAGCAATTTGCGATGGCCATAATGCATGCCGTCAAAGGTTCCGCCGACAGCCACTTTTTCGTACAGAGTGTTCCGAGGAATGCGGGCTCCGCCCAGTTGATCACAGGCACTTTCTGGATCAAACTCCTCAGTCGTATCACACTCATCATCCATACTATCGTCCACAAACAAGTTGTCGTCATTCTGAATATCAGCATTCTCCTCTTCAAAGTGTTCATCGTCCAACCAATCTACAAAACTGTCTTTTTGCGCTGCTGCACTCGCTCCCAATGGCCATGGATCCACCGATATTGCTTGCAAGGGCGACAATTTGCGTTGGGTCCGATCCGCATTCAGTGCTTGTACATGGGCTTCCAATCCACCAAACCCATCCCCTTCGTTGGATTGAAATTGAAGTCCTCGTCCCAGTGCACTTGACGATACCCAACCACAGATAGAATCATGACTACATACACTATCTAGATCTGCCGCATGGTGAATCCATTGTTCGGGTGCCGCATTGGGCAAGTTTTGTGGATATACCACGACATCGCAAAAGTCGGGAGTTCCTGAAGCCATGGCCACATCCCACAAACTCGAGTACACTTCACCAACGTAACGTCGTAATCGTGCTAGAGAAGGATGTTTGTCTCCTTGTGCTCTCAACATGACGCTCAATTTGTTTGTATTCTGCACAGCTTGAAACAGAATGGCCTCGTTGGCAATCTTGTCGGTGGACGTGGATGGCATACTGAGAATGGCCAGAGTATGTTTGTATCTTTTGGGCTGCTGTGCGTGAAGACGTGTTACTGGAGAGCATTTCGATTGCGATATAGGTTGTCGTTGTGAGCTGATGCAAGATGAATCTTGTGGTGAGATCAAAGTCGCGGGTCTTGAAGTTGTCCTGATAAATCCAAAGGCACATCCTATTAACTGCAAGGAAACGAGGATAAATATTCTTGATTCTAATCTCATTTTGATTCAGCGTTGGTTGTTCAAAAATCTTAGCTACAGTAGATTTGCTCAATAAATTATATTGGAGGTGTAGGTTCTTTTGTCAGTACCGGTAGTTGACGGCAACCAAAGCTGATGTTTGTTTGCTTTGTTGGCGTGATTGCGATTCTGGTTGCCCTGAAAAATTTTGCGGTAGGAAAAGGTACGGACGTCACGATGAAATCTTGATGCGTCGCCTCCTAACACCTCCTCTACGATTTGAAAAATGATTGTTACTGTAGGTGCAATGACGGCCAACCTACTGGGACGTTGAAGCGAAAATTAAATGACCAATAGGGATATTTATTAGAGGTTCGAAGTATGATACCACCGTCGTTCTTTGTGCAAAGGTGGTTAGTATGCATCTCTTGGCTTCTGATAGTTTTCCTATCTGCACCAACATGCTTCAGTTTGTCCTCGATGTCGTTTTCGTCTTCAGAAATGCAGGCGTTGGTTTCCAAAGGATTGTTGGCTCAGCCTCTGCCCAATCTGTACGTTTTGGGAACCATCCACATCGGATCCAAATCGGCCGACGACGTGAATCGTGTTCTAAACTCAGTTCAACCCTCGACAGTCATTGTAGAATTGCCACCGTCAAGATTGCCTACCATACTAAAGTCCAAGAACATCATGCAACAATATAGTGACGAAATTGACGGCAGCAAGCAGAAAATTGCATCAAATCCAAGAAAGACAAGTCTGATCCAAGTTATTGCTACTCTTCCCTCCATGGCAGGGGCAGGTTTGTCAATTGCAGGATTTCCAGGAATGATGGTAATGATAAGCCTTCTTTGGCCTAGTTTGGTCAAGCAAACCTGGTCCTTGAAGAATTCTGAACAAAAAGGCCACGAACTCGAACGTCGCAACGAATTTGAAGTAGCGGTTGCAGTCGCCAATATCCTTGGGGCAAGTGTGGTGGCAGCCGATTGGGAATTGGAAGAATTGGTTCAACGACTTGCTTCATCCTTGACTGTACTCGATTGGATCCAACTAATGTGGGGCGGTCTAGTCTTGGAACCCTTGGGTATCCAACCAATTGATCCTCTGCAACGAAAATCTGACGAATCGTCAGTGGAATGGGAAGAACGACGACGCGACATTTGGACAGCCCGAGCATCCTTGGAACATGCACAAACCTATACTCCAGCAGTGGATCAAGTTTTGGTGCATGGACGGAATCAATACTTTGCAGAACTGTGCTTGAAAGAAATATACTCGCAGGAAGAAACCATGGAAGGAGAAGGAAATGTTGGCAGCAGTCAGCTGAAGCCCATTGTATGCATCGTGGGTTTGGCGCATGTCGACGGGGTTTGTGAAATTTGCCGAAAGCAAGCAGACATATATGAAGTGGTTTAGCTTTAAAAATGTCAGATTGAAAAAAATCGAAAGTGCTCTTTCAAAGGCGCTAGGCGTCATGACTTTCCACTGAATCCTTCGGTCGAAATGGTGGAGCATCTTTGAAATGGCGGCTCCTTCTCGCCAGAAGCTGCCTCTTCAAGTCTTTTTCCAATTCCCTGGAGACATCAATGTTATCCAATAGGACGGAACTAGCGAACGGATCTTCCAACTGTGTGATGCTCTCAAAGAGAGAAGTCAAGGCAATGGCAGTGATGACAGCAAAGGCAATGGCCATGGGTAACGAATTCAAGTCCTTCGCCATTTGGCCATAAAAGGGAGCGTAAAATGGTGGAAGGAACGTCGTAAAGATACGTCCAAAACTTCGAAGTGCCTGTGGCGTTCGGTATCTCTTGATTACCAATAGCATTTCTAAAACCAAAACAAGTAGGGCCAAGCAAAGTCAGTTTACCGTACGATAGTTTGGGATGCAACTGTTAGTTGCTGGACGTACCAATCTTTTCGGACACCATTCGTTCCCAGTTACGAACCCGCGTGGCTTCGTTTGGTGGCAGGCCTTGATACTTGAAACGTTCACAGAGTTCCGTCAAGTTCCACATGTGATCTGATATACTCAAATGAAACTCCGTCATGACCTCTTCAGTCTTTGCGGCTTCTCTTCGGCCCCACGATGTCACTCGGTGCCTTGCTCTACTGGCTGTGGGCAGAGTCAGCAATCTACAAAGTTCATGGGAGAGCTGAACAGAAGAGTCAAGTACAGAGTCGCAATGGTCCAGCCAATCATATTCGGGGTCGCGACCAGGCTTCCCAACCTTTGGCCAATCCCAACAACAGTGGGCCGAATAAATGTGCATCAGTGTTGCCTTGATCCATGCCATATGGTTCAATGCCATATCACGACGAGTGAATGCCATGGAAATGGCACTTGAAACAGGTGTAATAACAGCAAATGACAACAAAACCCAGTTCATGGTGGATCCATCAAGAGCATCATTGTTATCCATCTGATGAAACGCATCTGTTTTCGAGGGAGCATGAAAGATTTACATCAGAAGAGTCATAGACCTGATGCCAAAGTCGTATCTATTGAGATCTTACAGATTGTCAGATAAACGCTCAAGCCGATCGATACAAGCGATTCGACACTGGTCAAGTGGGAAACGAACACCAGAAGGGCAGCATACATATTCACAAACGGTGCTGTCAGTTTGTTTCCACGCAATCCAGTACGTGCTCGTTTCCGAACCAGCTTCTCACTTTCCCACATTTCAACATTTTTCCGAATAAAACCGTGGTCGTCATTCTTGGGTACGCTGTCGTCATTCTTCGTTTCACCCATCCCACGATTCACGTTGGTGTTTGTAAAGAGATTGGTGTTGTTATTGCGGTATAATGACATGTGACATCCCAATCGATGACTACTTCGACTACGTATGAAGCACAGACGGAAAGGGATAAGAAATCAAAAATATTGAGATGTGATTGAGGTTTCGGTTCAGGGTGTCAGGTCCGCAGGTATCAGGTATCGGTACAGTATGAGGTATGAAGGTACTTCATACTTCCAAGGGCGCTAAGCGTCATGACTTTCCACTGAATCCTTCGGTCGAAATGGTGGAGCATCTTTGAAATGGCGACTCCTTCTCGCCAGGAGCTGCCTCTTCAAGTCTTTTTTCAATTCCCTGGAGACATCAATGTTATCCAATAGGACGGAACTAGCGAACGGATCTTCCATCTGTGTGATGCTCTCAAAGAGAGAAGTCAAGGCAATGGCAGTGATGACAGCAAAGGCAATGGCCATGGGTAACGAATTCAAGTCCTTCGCCATTTGGCCATAAAAGGGAGCGTAAAATGGTGGAAGGAACGTCGTAAAGATACGTCCAAAACTTCGAAGTGCCTGTGGCGTTCGGTATCTCTTGATTACCAATAGCATTTCTAAAATCAATAGCATTAAGCAAAAGTCAGTGTACAGCCGTTTGGAATGCTAAAAAGAAACCTCGACTGAAGTTGTTTTGACTGACGTACCTATCTTTTCGGACACCATTCGTTCCCATTGACGAATCCGCGTGGCTTCGTTTGGTGGCAGGCCTTGAATCTTGAATTGTTCCGTGAGTTCCGTCAAGTTCCACATGTGGTCTGATACACTCAAATGAAACTCCGTCATGACCTTTTCAGTCTTTGCGGCTTCTCTTCGGCCCCAAGATGTAACTCGGTGCCTTGCCCTACTGGCCGAAGGCAAAGTCAACAATCTGCACAGTTCATGGGAGAGCTGTACAGAAGAGTCAAGTACAGAGTCGCAATGTTCCAACCAATCATATTCGGGGTCGCGACCAGCTTTCCCAGCCTTCGCCCAATCCCAACAACAGTGGGCCGAATAAATGTGCATTATTGTTGCCTTGATCAATGACATATGGTTCAATGCCATATCACGACGAGTGAATGCCATGGAAATGGCACTTGAAACAGGTGTAATAACAGCAAATGACAACAAAACCCAGCTCATGGTGGATCCATCGAGAGCATCATTATCATCCAATTGATGAAACGCATCTGTTTTCAAAGGAGCAAGAAATATCCACATCAGAAAAGTCATAATGCTGATGCCAAAGTCGTATCTATTAAGATCTTACAGATTGTCAGATAAACGCTCAAGCCGATCGATACAAGCGATTCGACACTGGTCAAGAGCGAAATGAACACCAAAACGGCAGCATACATATTCACAAACGGTGCTGTCAATTTGTTTCCACGCAATCCAGTACGTGCCCGTTTCCGAACCAACTTCTCACTTTCCCACATGTCAGCATTTCCCCTGATAAAACCGCGGTCGCCATTCTTGGGCACGCCGTCTTTTGTTTTCGTTTCACCCATCCCACATTCACGTTGGTGTTTGAGGATGATGTTGTTTGGGTGATGACATTGATCGATCGATCCCGATGTTGCAACGGATGACTACTTCGACTACAGACAAAGTACAGACGATCGCAAAAAGGCGAAAGAAGAGCAAGTAATCGATGGGAAAAGTGAATAATATGTATACGTAAATGAAGAATCTGTAGTCCCTAAACCAACTCTAAACCTTACTTTTGCCTAAAGCAACCCACAAAGGCTCGAGTCATTGTGTCTCCCCGCAAATGGATCGGTGTAGTTGTTTTCATTGAAAACCTTCTTCCCCATTGCAGCATTGCGTCCGACATCTGCTGCTGTCAATGGCTCTGGTGGAAGTTCCTCTTCAACAACCTTATATTGTTCATCAAACTCAATTCCACACATCTTGTCAATACTCATCATATCACAGAAGGCAACAACTGGATCCGTCTCATTCTCTTCTTCGACCATGACAAGTTTCTTTACAACCCTGTTTCCTCTTGCATTTGTGCGCACCGAAATGATAGTTTCTCCCCCAGTACTTGGTGCCACACTGCCTGCCCCACTTGGAACATAGTGATGTTCGTGAAAGGAAGCGTGACCGCCTCCTCCTGGAGGGAAAAATTGCGGATGTTGGTGCGGCATTGAAGAGACGCTGCGACCACCGCCGTAATGCATAGGAGAACCAGAACCATGACTATGCATCATTGGTTGATGTGACATCACAGTTGCATCCCCTGGGTAATAATTACGGTGATAAGAAGCAACAGAGGCTGCACCACTTCGTGTTGTGATGTATCGGTGCTGCACTTGTGGCATGTTCGAAACAATGGGACTACCAGAAGCATAGCCGCCATATGGAGTGTTGTACCCCAAAGGTGCGGCACGGCTCTGGGGATAGCGACCAGCAGTACTTTGTCCAGATGCTGACAAAGGACTTACGGTTTCAGGTGCCTCCACTTGCCTTGGAGAGTATGGGTCGACTGAAAGTTGAACCCTTCGATTTGGTCGTGGTACATTATTGCGTTGACGTTGATTCCGAGCTTCAGGCTCAGCTCTGCCTCGAAGATGACTAACAAGAGGCTGCATCTTTATCTCTGAAGGCTCTATTCCTCGTCCTGCTTCATGATCAAATTGTCTTGTGTTGATTTGCGGTGGATCTTGGAGGTCAGGTTGACGAGGATCATTTTGATCTGGTTCGAGCTGTCCAACAGGATCACTTCGAGGACTCAAGGGGCCAGAATTTCGGAAGCGAGGTGTTTCAGCCTCACCAAAGTTTCCTTGGTGGCCTTGGTTGTGACCTTGATGACCTTGGTGACCTTGGTGACGCATGTCCATTTCTGGGGCGTCCCCATAAAGGGACGATTCTTCATTGACAGGTCGCCTAGGCATTTGCATGGGCATGGGTGCCTCTCGATAGGCGAGTTGCTCTTCTGCGATAGGCTCTTGATACATGAGCGGCTCTTCTGCGATGGGTTCCCTGTTGACATGTCTGGGACTGATTTGCTTTGGGTATCCCATATGTTCTGTCAAAACCGAAACATCATCCCCAAACTGGTAGGGGTGATGGTAGGCACCATAGTTTTCGTGCACATGAGGTGCTGGCACGTCATCCTTGGTTTCGGGAATGGCAGCGACACGCTGCTGAAGCTCATCAACAGGTTGCAGGGTCTCCGACGCGACGTAGTAGCGACTAGCCGGTGGTGTCGAGACGGCCATCGCGGGCATGGCTTTTCCCACAGGTTGCTGTCTCACAACAGGTTGCTGTTGTGGCGAGGTGGGTTTAGGACCAGTTTCCACCCCATCTATAATGGCGCTAGCTTCCAAGTAAGCAGGTCTCGTCACTCCACTTGCTTCTCTCCTGTGATGAGCAGGTAGTGCTTCTTGCTGATTCGGTTGTACCGTGGTCACGAGGGGATGGGCTTCTTGCGGATCTTCCTTCTTCTTGGCAATTTGGGCGGTTGGGTTGGACGAAGGGATTTCTTTCTTTGGTTCCTGCATTGTAATAACAGGCTCGACTGCTGGAGCCATCTCGACGGGCTGCACCAACTCTGCTTCTTCCCGGGAGTGACCAGAGTCTTCACTTCCTTCTTGAACAACTGGAAGTGCTGTTTGTGCTTCGTAGAAGGAGAAAACCTTGGGTCGTGTTCTCTCTTGTTGCCTGACCTCCTTTTGGGTGACCTCTTGTTTGGGGCTTGCCTCCACAACAAGTTGTTCTTCCACAACTGTGGCGGAAGGTTGAGGAGTTGGCTCGGGAATAGGCTGGGATTCCACAGGCTTTTCCTCTGGCACCTCTCTTGGTGCTTGGGTAGTAACAGGAGTGGGTTGTTCTTGTGGTAGTCGTGGGGTAGGAAGCTCTTCATTGCGTGCTTCTTCCAGAAGAGTATCTGTTTGCTTCTCGTCTTGAGGTTGTGGTTCCGTCCATTCCGACACGGCAGCACCATGACTGTCATCATCGTCGGTGGAGGATTCGTCAACGTCAATTTCTTGCCCAGTAGCACTTTCTATTGGAGCAGCAGCAGGCTCCTTGGAAGCAAGCTGCTGCTTTTGCTCGACCACAACCTTAGTCTCATCCTTCTCGGTAACAGCATGTTCTTCTCGTTCTTCGGTTTCCATGGATCGCGAGGCAGCAACGATTTCAGCCTCCTTGGTTTGTGACGTCATCATGCTGGTCTTGTGATGTACCTCTTGTTCATCGCATCGTGTTTCGTCGGCAGGCCCAGAAGTCTCTTCGCTACTGTTTCTGGGAGAGACGGCCCGAATTACCTTGGGTGGTGGCGGCGGCGGTGGTGGAGGCCCTAGCGATGCCAATGCATCTTCAATTCGGTTGCTTTCATGGTTATTTTCATAGTTGCTTTCATGGTTGTTTTCATGGGTGGCGACACTGCCAACGACACTTCCAGTGCCTCGTGTCTCGACGGTGTAGTCTGTGGAAGATTCTTCGTGATGGTTGTGGTCGTGGTGCTGCTTGTGTACATCCACCACTGTTGGTTTGATAGGACTGGGCGGAGCAATAACATTCTTGATGGGAACTGGAGCTTCCTCGACTTGTTTGGTAGGAGTGGTCGATCGTGTTGCCGCAGTGGTAGCGCCTCCCTTGGTTTTCATCATGCCATATCGCTTCTTTAGCATTTGCAAACGTTGCTGTGCTTTGCGTGCATCATCGGCGGCTTTCAAGGCCTCTTTGGCCAACGATGTGGCCTCGAGCGGCACTGTCATTGTCGATCAGTGAATGCTGTGTGGGGCGACTATTGGATGTGGAAATGGACGGAGGGTGGGTATGAGCGACAAGATTGGAGGTAGTTTTCGAGTCGCTAATTTCCATCGCGTTCAACCAGCGATAAATTCAATCATATCCGATATTCGCATACGAAGATATTGCAAATGATTGCTGAATGTCGCATACGACCATATTGTTCGCCGAATTGCACTAACTTTGAAACGAGCGAAGGACGGTCGACAATAATGTCTTGCAGTCCACCCAAGAACCATTCAAAGAACAGTCTTCGCATTGCCGTGAATGCATGATGTAAACTACTGGCGGTACCAGGTACCAGGTACCTGGTACGAGTACCTGATTTTCCGTACCTGCATGGGTGTTCACTGGAGTTCGCGAACGTCACACGGAATGAATCAGTAGATTTGATTTGGTACGAATTCTACATACGAACGGCGGCAGTTGAAGGCTTGAAGCTTGAAGCACACATGTCACGTTTCAATCCGAAATCACCACGGCCACCGAAATGGCCACAAAATAAAAATATTCTGGTCAGAAGGTATCTCATTTTAATGATAATACTACCCACAATCAGAAGCACAAGGCTATCATCACCAATATCACAAACGTAACGAAGGCCACTATCCAACCTTGCATCAGACACTGAAACCAGCAACTCGGAAAGAATTCATCATCACCTGAAACAATCACCTGAATAAATCAATCGATTGATCAATCAGCAGTCCCGCAAAAGAATAACTTCCGTACACCAAACACTTCACGATCCAAGAATGGCGTTTGCAACCCCAATACCTCCCTCTCACGTGGGAACTCATTCCTTTCAACACGATGCTGGAGAACCAGATCCTATGGAATTTCCCCAACTGAAACCAACCACTACGAATGACGACCATGAAAGTGCTGAAGAAAACGACTGGGAAATGGTTTCCGACGAACCATCAGCACCTCCCGTAGTTCCAACGCCCCCTCAGGTCAAATTTCAGCTGACCAAATCTCAGACGGTGAAGCAAGACGAAAAGCAAGACGAAAAGCAAGTTCAAAAATCTCATGGGAATCCCAAGTGTTTGATGCATTCGCAGTCGTCTCCCAACCTGAGAGATTACATTATTGAAGAATCCGACAGCGATTCGGAGTTTGAGCACGTGGGAGCCAATGTCAGTCTAGATGATGGCTCCAGCAGCTTTTCCATCATTTCAACTCCTCCTTCGGTCAATTCCATTTGGTCCTCTCGGATATCCTTCAAGGATGCTCTTTTGAAAAAGGATGCCACGAGCATTCCTGAAAATGCCACAGCAACGGAACCCCAAAAGAAGAAACCACATGGCCAGCATATCAAAAAGATCAAACCTAGATTCATTGTCCAAGCCGTCGCTCCAATGAAACATGCCAAGAGCATGGGCGATTTGAGCAAACTGGCAGAAGACGAAGAGATTCTGGGGGATTCTGACGCGCACGAATATTACTCTCGCAAGGCCCAAGGGTCCTTGGGACGACAAAATGGGCGCAAACAACGGCCGGATGAAGCCAAGCGATTGGAAATCACCATGAACAAGAAGAACATGCAAAAAGCTCGACAGGGTCATTAGATGGAATGCATGGAATTGCTACTGTTGGAAAAGAGCTACTGTCGTGGTGCCCGCGCATTGTCTTTGGAAGCCCCTATTCCATCGATGCATGCATGCGCATGCATGCACGCCACGACTGCCTGTCGATAGAAACTCAAGCGCACCAATACCGAGGTGCCACATGCACACAACGGCGATTGTTGCATGCATTGACGATTGATGTATAGTTCTGATGGAATGCACAAAAACTTTTCCACCAAGAACAGCCACTTGTGTTAAAAAAACGTGTAAACTTCATATATTAGAGAAAAACATTCATTTAGAATCATTCGGTATCTATCAAGACACCTCCCTCTTATTCCTATTCCATACGACAAAATGTGAACGTTGGCTGCCGTACTGCTTCGTATTTACAAGATTGCCATGGCCATGGTTCTCTCATCTCATTGGCATGTATGTGGTGATCGGAACCATTATCGAATGAATCGCCTGAATCGATTGGATTTAGCGCGAAAAATTCGTCCGTTCACGGACAAATGCGACATTTTTGAATAAGGTTGGACAATTTTGAAGGCATACACATGCACCAGCCTGCCAGCAGGTTATTGGACCGCACCTCGGAGCTTCGAAGGGAGAGGAAAGGAGTGACAAGACGATAGGAGTTGGTGTACTTGTACCGTATTATACATCTACCTGTACCGGTACAGGCAGCAGATACAGAAATACAACAAAATATAACAAAATACAACAAAACCCCACAGCAGCAGTGCTATACAGCATCAATTGAAGCCTTGAGAAACGGGTTCAAGTTCGAACAATAAAAGTACGCTAGAAGGATACAACACAACAATCATGTCCTCAGCATCATCATCATCAGCATCATCATCATCATCAGCATCACCACCAAGAAGGAGTGATAGATGGCGACACGTATTGTTGGTTCTTTTCGCTTGCCTATATACAGCAGCAGCGAACGCCAATAACAATGTTCGCTCCAGGAAGGCGAAGACAAACAAAGTTAGGGGAGAGTCAAGATTGTTTCAAGCCGACAAGAATTTAAACAATTATTTCAATCGACGACGCTTTCTTCAAAAGGACGGCGAAGATGATAAAGATGACAAAGATGATAAAGATGACAAGGACGACAAAGACGACGACGAGGAAGAAACGGATGACGAAGAACCGGAAGATGACAACAAGGCGGATATACCGGCAATTCGAGTGACCAATCCTCCCACCAGGAATCCTACAAGACCGCCCACTCGGTTTCCGACTATTGCACCCACTTCGATACCGGTACCCGCTACGCCCCCGCCAACGCCTTTGCCCGCCACACCGCCTCCTACACCAGTACCAGCGACACCGCCTCCTACACCACCTCCCACACCACCACCTACACCGCCTCCCACACGACCCACAGGTCCCCTGCCACTGCAATGGAGCATTGTTTTCCCACTCCAACGCTGCGAGGGAGATTGCGACGTTGACATGGACTGCGATGGAGGCATGGTTTGTTATCAACGAGATGGCGGTGAATCGGTCCCCCGCTGCATTGGAGAAGACGAGTCCCGGATTGATTACTGCATCGAGGCTTGGGAACTTCCACCACCGCCCACGCCGCCGCCCACGCTTCTTGTCACGCAACCCCCGACGCCGCCTCCCACGCTGCCTCCCACACCACCTCCCACCGTGGCGCCAAACGCGGCACCCACTTTACCACCCACTCCATTTCCCACTTCGGCTGCTCCGACGACCGATTACACCGATTACATTGGTTGCCAAAAGGCGCAAGCGGGTGAAGTCTACACGACCAATTACAGTGTGACGATTGGATACTATTACGAAGTCATTACGAGGAGGACGGATCCACTCTTGGAGTTATCAATGAGCATTGATGCCCTCTTTCAAAAATTCTTGGCGACGTCTCTGGTGGATTGCGAATTGGCGGCCGCCTCGGACATTCAAGGGGTATCTCCGGCCAATGTCGACAATTTGGCGGGCAGTTGCGTTTCCCAAACCATGTTGTCGAGGCTAGGGAACAACGAAGACATGATTTGTTACCAAATGCAAGGATCTGTGGAAGTGTATCTATCGGAATATTATTTTGTGGCACTCCAGGCCAATTCCAATATTGACGCCGTCAAGGATCAAGTGTGGGACACTTTGCGAGAGGAAATTAATAACAGTCGACGAAGAAAACTGTTGGTGGACTTTTCCCAAGGCATTTATGGACTATTTTTTCTCAGTGGCACGGATCCAAACGATGGGATTGTCAATGTGCTGGGAGCTGCTGTACCAGGTGGAAATGGTGGAGATGGAGACGAAACCTCTGGGACCAGTTTGGTTGAAATCATTGGGATTGCCCTGGGATGTCTTCTACTGGGACTCTTACTCTTTGTCGGATTCCGCAAGTATCAAGCCTACCAAGAAGAAGATGATGACGATGACCTCAATAAAAGCAATAGCATTGCAACAGAGAGTGATGACCATCATCATGATAGTCCCGGGAAGCGAGGGAGTGGTGGTGCTCGACCAAGATCACCCGAATCCTCGCCTTCTTCCATGCCACCCCCTCCTCCTCCGCCACTGCCACCACCATCCGAGGAGAAAAAGGAACAGCAGCAACCAAAAGTGCAATTTTCGCGGCCATCCACCTGGCTTGCCATTCTTCCAGAACAATTGTCATCACGATTCATACAAGCATCATCGCCATCATCCCCTCCAAGGAAAGCTCCTACTGCACATGGACAGCAACAGCAACAGCAACAACAACCACGGGGTAGCCCTGCGAATGATGGAAAGCCTGCTTCCGAGGTTGCAATTCCAAGTGGAGATCTCAATGTTTCCCACATTTCGTCTCTGCAAGCGGACGAATGGGGTGGTCACCAATACCTTGACGACAATGGAAATTATTCCTATCACAAAAATGTCGCCATTGACGAAGATCAATTCCGGGTCACGGGATACAGCAAATTGTCCAACATTTCCACGTTGGCGGAGCAATTGGAAAGTCCTGCCAAAATCATTACTCCCATTGCCCAACGACAATATCATCAACCAATGGTGAGGGGTAGAAACCATGACGAACATTTGCATTTACGGCAACCGACCCCGGAAGAAGTTCCGAGGTTCCGGGCGGGGCATCTTTCTCATTACGAGCAACGGTTCATGCAACAACAACGACATTCCATGGAACAACACTTTCCTCGTGCTGACCATCGTGGAAATGCAAACAATAGTCAAATGGTATTGTCCACCACCAGCTCGTCACCAATGGATCAGTCATCCAATTTGAATATTTCAACCAAGTTGAATGAAAGCAATACGACACATTCCTCCTCGTTGGATTCCTTTGGCTTTCCAAAGTTGCAAGAGGTCTTTGGGTTCCAACGTTCTGCCACTAACAAGTCCGTCTCTACAGCAACCTTGAGAGCGGCGCCCCACTCGTCCAACGGAATTCCCAGAAGTCAATATTCTTCCATGACTACCAAGTTGTCCAATCGACGGGTTCCTTCTAATTTGATGAATGGCGGCGGCGGCAGAGTAGTACAAGAAGACGACCACGAGAGCAATCTCAGTGAAGATCACTTGGTGCCGTACTATACCAAACCCAGCAAACCAAAACCTACCTTGAGTTCACTAGGAATCGGTTCCATGAAGCCACCCCGTTCGGCAATGGACGTCCAATCCACCAAGTCCACCAAGACCTATTCGAGCGCCGGAAGTTTCCATTTTGAAACATTGTCGACCACCCAGTCCACCACGAGTCATCGGAATCATTCGCAACAGCAGCGACTGCCACCTAGTAGCAGCAGAATGGAACCGCAAACTCCACAAAGTGAATTCAATTTCATGGAACGAACGTCAGGGTATCCCGATGCGGTTCCGATTAGTATGACCATGGCGAGCAACGCCCTGCAGCATTCGGCTTTTAAGCCACGAAAGTTGGCCTACCAATCGTCATCACCCTCATCAAGGCACAATACGGAAAATCCTAATCGAGATTGGCCTCGATAGCGTCACGTGGTGTGCGCTAGAATGAATGAATGTCATGGGATAGTAGTGTAGTTGTCACATATTCGACAAGGGGTATTGGTCGAATCAATCTTGATGTTCATTAAACAGTAGCGATTAGCGATAGCTTCATGCAATGTTATTTTGCTGCCGAGTACAAGAGCACTGGAGAACCACAAAGATGCAGAACTTATGCCTCCTCCAAGGCGCGATCTGCATCAAATGACTGTTTTTATGGTCGCAGCTTGAGTACCAAAGACATTTGTTATTTCTCTGTGCGGTTTTGTGATTTTTACCAATTTTCGTCAGATTCTCTCCCAATGTCGTCAGTTTTTTCCAAACTTCTGGTGGGGCAAGAGCACTTCCATTGAATTGAATCAAAAGTGTCTTCACTGCTACTGATCTCTTTCTCCGAGTCGCCATCAGAAGCATAATCACCCCTTGATTCAATAGCCTATAGGCTCATCGAGAAGCTATCACTATCATGGAGGACGGGGAGGAAGAGTACTTATACATTCCGACAACAACGCAAATGAAGATTATCAGTTTGCTTGTCATCCCATCATCCATCTTGTCATTCATCGGATCATCATTAATCATCTACAATGTTTCGCACGATAGAAAAAAGTCGCCATGTAAGCATTGTTGAGCCTTGCTTTTATTCAGTCTTGCAATAGTGCTAAAACATTGTTTTTGTGTCCTTTCGAACAGACCGAAGACTTCTGCTAGCGCTGAGCGTGTGCGATATCATTGCAACGTCTGCATTTGTCACCTCGCCTTTTCTCACCACAGCTGGTCTCAAACATACCTTTGTTTGGTCCTTCGGAAATCCAACATCTTGTGCAGGTACGCTCTCCCTGGAATGAAGAACCCATTCCGAGCTTTGATTTTGCCCCGCCAACTCATCAAACATGTTATATTTTCCTCTACAGTGCAAGGTGCTATCACGCAATTCTCTGTGGCGGCGCAGCTGTATAGTTGTTGTCTTTCTTTCTACTTCCTTCTCACCATTCGATATGGGATGCGTGAGACAACGTTTGAAAAGAGACTTGAGAAAATTATGCACTTTGTCGTTATCACGTTTGCCTTGGGCGCAGCCACCACAGGATTGGTCACTGGGATGTTTTATCCAAGTCATGTTGGGCCTGGTAAGTTACCCAATTGGTTGCCTTCTGTGCTACATGGGCTTTTAAAATCTCAAGGAATTACTCTCTTCATTTGAAACCGAAGGATGCTGGTGGAGCCATCCTCCTGAAGGTGACATCTGCGCCAACGACAGTTGCGGTGCCGAAAAGATGGCATGGATTTTTGCGGGCTTTCCCACATTACTCTGCATCTTCGCCATAGGTATGCGAATTTAGCCATTGATTGAAATATTTTTTTTGTTGTTTATTGCACATCTGACACCAGCAACTTGTGATTCTCTTTGTCCGCAACCATAGCAATCAACAATCTTCTCCTTTATTGTCACGTGAGGTCGACCGTTCTTCAAGGACAACAGCGGGCCATAGAAATAGAAAGGAAGCTCTCAACCTACAACAAAAATCAGAGGGCTGGATCAGACGACGATAACAATTCTATCAAAATGTCATCAGGAAAATTCAGCAATTGGGACAGCGAAACAAAACGTGGTAGCAGTATGCTCGGATCGGGCAGATGGGGAAGTAGCGAAAAGCCAAGAAGTGTGCTTCGATCATCTGATAAACAGTGGCAGCGTGTGAAAGATGTGGGCAAACAATCCTTTCTGTATGTTGGGGCTTACTTTCTTTGCTTCAGTGCAACGATAGTTAAGCAGGGGTTGGATGGGCAGGGGCTGGACAAGGTAGAAGGATCGGGCTCCGTCTTCTTGCCTCTGCTGATTCTTCAGAGTATCTTCCTTCCAGCACAAGGTATGTCCAAAGTCATTATTAGAATAAATGCCGATATTTCCAAACAACTGACAATGAAACAGGCTTGTTGAACTTTATGATACATTTCAGACCGAAATATATTCAAGCGAGGCGCAAGTATACTCACGAGACAAGACTATGGTGCCTGAAGAGAACTGTGTTTCCGAACAAGATGAAGCCAACGACTCGTCCTAGCGGCGTTTCATTGACTCCAAGTCAGCGTGGCAACGAAGATAAAAAGATTAACTACGCAGGTGAATTGGTTTCGGGCCAGGATTCAGTTCACGGAAACTCTTTCAGTAGGATCAATTTCAATATTGACTCGATAGCTGGATCAGTTCACGAGAGTGACCAAGAAAGTGCAAATGCAAATTCAAGTAAGAAGAAAAGAAGTGGAACAGCAAAACGAGTATCATACGACGATGAAGAATCGTGGAGATTTCGATCCTACAACAGAAGCCCATCGGTTGATTCAATCCCGGAAGCATTGTTGGAGATCTCAACACGTGAAGAGCCCACTAATACTCCAGTTTGTGACGACACCACTGACTCACAGTCCATGGAAAGCCTCGAAGCACCAGCGACAGGGTCCAAACGTGTTTCTCATACTGGTGAAGTTGAAGATGTAGAATCTAACAAATGAACCGGAAGTAGGAAAGTGTTCTCAAGCACATGCTTTTCGAAGCCGTCGTTTGGATCATGTAACGAGCCGAATGAACCGAGAGGAGTGATTGGCACATTGTCACATGGTTGAGAAGGGAGTTTTTCCGCGACAAGCCGAGACGGTCTTCTGAGCCCCCCCTTCGGTACGAATGACGCTGGGTAGAACGGCTCCTAATCTGATTGCAGAAGATGCCGCACCGCTATCGCTCTTGAAATATTCTGAATTCAAGTGCGAATCTCCTCCGGGGTAGCCAACATCATTGACACGTCTCGTTACAGCCAGTTGCTTTCAGAAAAGGTCTTATTCACAGATCATGGAGGATTATGCTGGTACTCATGGCAACACCCATCATACTTTCTGCTCTGGATGGGCATACTTTCTGCTCTGGATGGGCATCGTATGGTTCAACTGTCTCACAGGACGTACAAGAAGTCGAGCTCACGAGAGTTCTGAGGTTCTCTTCATGTACCGGTACAGTAAGGTTGAAGGTTTCTACGTTCGACATTCTGCCGGCAACATTAGATTTAACCAACTGTTTTTAAAAATTATGGCGAAATTCTATTCCGAACTTTTGCGAGAAAATTCATTATTTACGATTTCAGACGGTGGAAAAGAGAAAGTCCGGTCTGTATAATAGTTGAAGACAAAAAACCTGTCCAAAACGAAAGATCAGCAGGATTATTAAAACAACGTCCATCAGACAGTACCTACCTAAACTTGTATTGTGACCGCTCCTATCAATAGTAACTCGAATCAAACGCAAAGATGGCAGAAGAATATGGCTTTGAATATGTTTACATTCCAACATTGACGCAGCAAAAAGTGATTAGCGTGATTGGAATACCGACGGCAATTCTCTCCGTTGCAGGCTCTTCACTGATCATTCATCACGTCCTACAAAACAGCAAGAAGACTCCATATAGAAGGATTCTGTTGGCTCTGAGCTGTTGTGATATCATTGCAACTTTTGGCTATATCATGCAGCCCTTTTTTGTCCCCACTGGCTATTTTAATTCATACGTCTGGGCGTTTGGCAACAAAACCACCTGTTCGGTGCTCGGAGCCTTGACTCAATTTGCTTTCGCATCTCATTTCTATGGCGCTTTCTTGAGCTTTTACTTTGTCTCGACCATTCGGTACGGTATGCGGGAAGATGCCTTTTCCAAAAAGTATGAACGATGGCTGCACTTGTTCATTGTAATATGGTCAGTTGGGACATCTGTTGCAGGACTGGTAATGGACATTTTTCGGGCCAATGTTTTAGGACCTGGCTGTTGGGTCAATACCTTTCCAGATGAGTGCATCCCAGAAGAAGGGTGTAATGTAGAGTTGATTGGTTGGGTCTTTGGTACGATCCTGTTTGTATGAACTGTCTGGAATTGCGCCAAGGATGATTTCGCGCTTACAACCACTCCGTTCTCGCAAAAAATCACAGGAGGACTGCCTTCGTTGTTCTGTTTCATTGCAATCATCGTCAACAACCTCATTCTCTACTGCTTTGTACGGCAAACGGTAAAAGAGGGTGAAAAGAAGGCCCTTCAAAATGAATCGAGACTTGCCATGTACAACAGTACACGATCCGGCATGGATGCGTCCGTGGAAGAAGTTTCTTTGGCCGGAGCTTCCACACGATCGGTTGGAACTAGGAGTGTCCTTCGATCATCGGAAAAGCAGTTGCAACGCGTACGAGATGTGGGAAAGCAATCCTTTTTGTACGTATCCGCCTTTTTCCTGTGTTACATTTGGTCCTTGGTCAAGCACGGCCTGGATGGTCAAAACTTTGATGAGATTGAAGGGTCGGGAGCCTATTTTTTGCCCCTTTTGATATTGCAAGCAATTTTCTTGCCGGCACAAGGGTTCTTCAATGCTATTGTCTACTTTCGACCAAAGTACATGCAAGCAAAGCGTAAATACAAGGATCAATCCTTTATCTGGTATTGTCGCCGTTCCATTATTGGGGAGAAGCTGAAACCTGCTGGTACCAACTTCCATACACAGAGTGCTGACACATTGGGCGGTCCGACCCGATCGAAGCGAATTACGTTTGCAGGAGAACTAACTTCCTCCTACTCAAATTCCATGGCGCCGATTCCAGAAACTCTAAGGATTCCACAGGAAGGAGCTGGACGGGCGGCGTTACCATCCATGTTGGAATCTACCACCGAATCAATGTTCGAAACTTCTACGGAAGAAGGCAAGGAATAAGTTCCTTTGACGCAATAATGACTAGTGCTCAGGCGACGAAAACAATGTCGGATGCGATACAAATTTGGTGAATACAAAACTCTCCAGAATGTACAGTATGCAAATGACACCTTTCGTCCGCACAAAGAAGGATTATTGCCTTGTTCCTCATGGTGACACCCACACCTTTTAATTTCCGATCGGAATGCAATACATGCCTTAGCTGAATCCTACATCCAACAGCACGAATCAAGATGTTTACTGCCACGAATGAAGAAAGCACCATCACGATTGACAAACACGAAAGAGTAACAACAGTATGGGCCCATGATGGATCTGATAATATCAAAAACTTACTTAGTCTTTCGTTGACATGAAAAATTGAATACGTAAGCAAGCTAGCACAAAAAAACGATACGACAGCTGTCCATATTGCAACCCATTCGTACACAACTTGATATATAATACTGTAGCGTATTCTGTTGAGAGAAAGCATAACAGTAACCACATTATTGAATACAAAGCATTTGACAAGAAACTGTGTCCCGATTGAAGTCCGATTGAGAAGAAAACAAAAAGATTTGTGTTTCAGGTCCTTCAACTGTTTAATAATTCTGGGTCAAGCTTTATCAAATACACGGAGACTGCAATCTGACAAAAGTATCCTCGCCAACATAACACGCACAACATGTCAAACGATCAGTCACAGCCACTGCCAAATACCAATCGAGGCTTGAAGGTACTCTTTTTATCTTCAGACACTGGTGGAGGCCATAGAGCAAGCGCAGAATCTCTGGCCAAACAATTTGAGCTCTTGTATCCTGGTTCCACCTACGAACTCTTGGATCTTGCCACAGAACTTTATCCACCACCCTACTCCCACATTGTCTCCAATTACAAGCACTTGTCCAAGAATCCATCTCAATGGAAGGTCTTGTACAGAGTCACCAACTCGCGCATGTTGGAACGATCCATTGTGGATTCTTCCATCAAGTATGTTTCGCTAGTCAGTGAACGAGCGATTCGAGAGAAAATTAAGAGCATCAAGCCCGATGTTGTCGTCAGTGTGCATCCACTGCAGACGAGCGTTCCCAGTTTATCCTGCGCGAAGATTAGTCATGAAACAGGACGTCATTTGCCCATGTTTACTGTGGTCACAGATTTGGGATCTGGTCACTTGACGTGGTTTGCCTCGAGTGTCGAAAAGATGTTTGTGGGCTCGACTCAAATTTACGATTTGGCCAAGGATCGGGGGCACGTTCCCGATGAAAAGTTGGTCTTGTTGGGATTGCCCATTCGACATGATTTCGCCCTGCAAGCCGCCAAGATGAAGGACCGCATGTCATTGGAGGGTCAACAATATCAACGAAAGGTCCGCGAAGAGCTGAAATTACCAGCAACAGACCGGAAGACGCTACTAATAATGGGAGGGGGTGAAGGCGTTGGTTCCTTATCTAACATTGTAGATGCATTGTATTATGAATTGACCAAGCAAGGTATTGATGCACTAATCTTGGTGGTTTGCGGACGAAACGAAGAGCTTCGCAACTCACTCAAGACAAGAAATTGGGATCAGATATACACGCATAAGGATGCTCTGCTGGGTCATATCAAGAGATCTCGCTTTCCAACCTTTCGATCGATTGACAGGTGCCGAGACGGAATTTCATCCAGAGGCTGCATTGAAGCCCCAATGGTCACGAGAAATTTGCGAAGGGTGCTAAGTTCGGGGAACTTTATGATTCATAATGCATCCACCTCGCTTTTTGTTCCGACAAACGAAGATGAAGAAGAAAAGGATGAGCCATATGATGAAGCTGCTGACGGCCAACTGCCAGAATTGATGGTCAAGTCCATGTCCTTTGGAAACCTTCGACTGGCTTCCTACGAGCAAGCGGCAATGGAGGCTATTGAAACCAAGGAAGATGGTGATGGTGAAGAAGTAGAAGCACCAGAAGACGAAGCTTGTGGGCTGGATCTGTCAAAGGAAGCAATTATTCCTGTTCATGACGACGACATGGCTAAATACCTTCCCAGCACTTTTTCGACGGGCAAAGTAGATGTCGTGGGATTGGGATTCATCACCAACATGGCTGACTACATGGTCGCCGCAGATATTCTAATCTCGAAGGCTGGACCAGGAACTATTTCGGAAGCTGCTGCCCTTTCGTTGCCAGTTCTGCTTACATCGTACTTGCCTGGACAAGAAGAAGGAAATGTGGATTATGTCATTGATGGCAATTTTGGTGCTTATTGTGATGATTCCGATCCAACTGCCATTGGTGAAGAAATTGCCTCTTGGCTAATGGACCCGATAAAGCTGCTTCAAATGTCCAAAGCGGCAAAGAAAATGGGAGCACCGAATGCTGCCCGCGATATTGTGCAACAAATTGGAGACTCCACGCTCAAGTGGAGAGAACTGAATGATGCCATGGATAATGCCGACGACGCTAGTCACAAAGTGAAGAATCAAAAGTCCAAGACTGCCGGTATGATCACTGTGTAGAGTTGTTGAACTGCAAGAAACTGTTCCAGCATATGACCCATGATGATGATACGCTCTTCTACCCACCTGGGTATCTCGTGCCAATTAAGTGTTCGCTCAAAGACGTGGCGAGAAGAGGGTGGCGATCGACGTCACTAGGACCAAGAATGCCCGTGTTGCGCACTCTGTTAGAAGTGTTCATCTGACAAGCTGCCGCTAGCAAAAAGACCCACAAGCATAGCCGCAATAAAATAACGTACTAGCTAGAGATATAACAATTTTAATATGATGATAACTCCATCGGTTCATGATCTCCTATGGCTGGCTGTACCTTCGGTGCGCTCAAAAGAGGTGCAAAAACTCACTTATTGTCTGACGCACCAGCAGTGAAAAGATTGCACCAAAATCGTCACTTGACTGATTTGCTCCAACATCCCATTTATACCTTCAGCGCATTCAATCGATGATTCGTCTGCTGCTCCTCCAACTTGAAATTTCGATCCTC